ATCGCTAATACTGGTTCGATTCCGATGATTTTTTCTTTGTTTTGTAGGTAATTTAATTACCTTTCAAAAGTTTTATTATAAATTTCACCGTATAATATATACTTAGGGAGTTAGGCCCCATAACATTTTTCTTTACTTTATAACTTTTTTCCCTGAATTTTTTGGGAATTTAGTCTATATACGAAAATTGAAAGGACAATGATTAGAACATCACAGAAAAGTTTCATCAAAATCGTTAGAGCCGTTTTCGCGCTACAGTCTATAGAAAAACATGTTTTTTATTTATTGCGCGCAAGCTATTGCACATGGAGCAACAAATTTCTGTCACAGGCATCAGTAGTCAAAACCATACAAAATAAAAAAAGAAGCAACAAAATCGGTTCAGTAGTTCCCGAGAAAATCTTGGCACAGACAGACAGACAGATCAATGGCTAAAAATGTGTTTTTCAGACTCAGGGGGCTGTGAAACGTATAGATCCGTCGAAAACCGCATGTCGGAAATTTGACCCGATTGCAATACTTTCCTTACCTAGTATAGGTAGGAAAGTAAACAGAACGAGTTCGCGTTCTGGTGCCAGAGGGGATTTTAAATTCCCTCACCCCCGGGCCCGGGAAAATCCCTTGTACCTTAAAAGGCGAGGTAGGGAAGAACAGAAGAAAAAAACAGAAAACATACTACCAAGATAAAATAAAAATTAATATTTTATTATTTTGCTTTTAATGCATGCATTCTAAGAATTCGATGCAATATTAAATAAGAATTAAATACAGGAATTAAGTAATTTAATATGTTATTTATAAAAACGTTGGACGCCATAGCTTCTTGGGTTAAAATTTGGCAAATAACACCTCATCCTTATTAATAAACGGAAACCAATCCCATAGTTCAATTCAGCTTATTTATGAAACTCTATTATTTTTCAATCTACGTTTTTTTTTCTAAATAAAATTAGAATAAATCCTTAACTTGCACATTTTAGCAGCGGAAAAGGTCGTATTTAGAAACTATATTAAATTTCCTTTTAAACCGTGCAATTGTCATCGCGCTACTCTTCGCTACTTTTATACTGTGAAGTTAATCTATGCAATTGCAAGACAGTAATTTGATTTTTTTTCTATACAATACTTATATTCATTAGTCGTACTTACCTTGCTAGTAAGCATCCATATCAGAAAAGTTGTATACATCTATAAACAAGAACATAGGAGCCATTTAATTGTCGAAAATCGGTGAAACAACATAGTGCGATAGTAGTCGTTAAATGAAATGTACAAAACATATTTAATTTAATGGCCAGGAATTATTTTTTAGACTGTCAGTATGTCAACCTGTCTTTTGTATATTAATTTTCGAAAACTTTGGAACATAGTTTTATCTGATCGAAAGGAGACTGATAGATCGGTAGGGTGAGGAACTGAAAATGTCTTTGTCCCTTTTGTGTATCATCTTGATATGTGAATATTTTCCATTGTAATGGAAATTTAGTTGTCCCCAGAATAAGGTTTAATATTGTCGTAAAGAACAGGAAGCTTCCCTAAGGCATTTGCTGGAGCCCATCAGCTTTTTTTTTTTTTTTTAAATTCTAAAGAGAACGAAGGGAAGGTGTCATTTATAATGGTGTGTCTAAAGTATCAAGTACTGAGGTTTCATGTTCTGTATTCGTGAAGTCTGTATATGGTGAAAATACTGATGAAAGACGGTCTGCAAATATTTCAGATTTTTCTCTAACCGACAAAGCCGTTTCGCAGTTGTACTGACATCTCTCGATGTTTCAACAATTTTTGTTATGCTCCCACAAACTTCCAACGTCAGTTGATGTTGTGCTCAAGTGAGTATCATAATTGTTGGATTTTGTATAAGTCGTTTAAGTTTGTTATTTATTCATCTATATGAAAAAAGTCTGTTAGTCTGCCATACGTTATGGGTTCTTCTCTTTGCCGTGATCAAGTACCTTATAAATTGAGGATATCTTGGGAAATGTTCTGCTCTTGATGGCCTTGGTAGAGATGAAGACCAAGCTGTTTTTGGACACTTTTTTGTAAATTCGTCCACAGCATCATCTAGTTGATCAGCTGTTTTAATGGAGAAAGGGATTAAAAGTTCTGAATCCATAATCGCCCTGAAAGTATCCCAATCCATTTTACCATTAATGAATGTTCGTGGGAGATTGATGGGCTCATCAAGAATAACCAAATGTTAAGGCAATGGTTAGAGCAAAGATCAGAGCTTGTAATTTATGGTGTAAGAAATGGAATGTAAGGAATGGAAGTCCTTTGGTTATAGGTGCGGGGTGGCCGAATGAGCTAACGAGTGAGCACAGCATCTAGGTTAAGCTACCTATGAGAGCTGTTGGAGGAGGCTAAAAAGGGGACGAATGAGAGCACTCAGACCATTGAGTAACTGGAACAGTTGTGGAGACATGCACTTATCAGCTAAAGGTGGCTGGGTACTTTCAGGTACTGGTGATGGAGGCTGTAGATGTAGGTATGTTTCCAACAGGTTCTGAGCTTGTGGTTGCGTTTGCTGAAGGTGTTCCTTGTGTTGACTTCTATTGTTGCACTGGAGGTTACTGATGAGATGGCTTCTGCTCTTGATGAGAGCTTTTAGAAGATTGTGGAAGAGCCGGGAAATTGTAAAGATTTGCAGGAGGGGATACCCTCTGGTGAACATGATTTCTCTTGGTCCTCTGTATCCTTAGATATCTAAGGATTTCATACACACGATAATTGGCAATTTATTACAAATATTTTTCATTAAATGTTTTCTTACTTACATAGGTAATGGCCGTTCAAAACGTGAGATGGCGTTGTTAATACCTAGGATTTTGTATCCGTATATTTCAAGATCTCTTTTAATTTCTTTGATTGGTGTGTTGTGATGAAGATCTTTATTCACCACTCGAGGATTTCAATCCTCAGGGAGCTCTTAAATATGAAATTCAACTCCACTGTTTCTCAAGCAGCTAACTATTTTTCTGTAATTGTTTGGGGTCTGGGAGTTGTTCTAAGGCCCTGAATTTGTTTGTAAATACGACACAAGAGCAGCAGTGTTTAACACCAGTAATGTAGATTCGAGGTGTATTATTAGTGGCATTAAATGGGGGATTAGCAGATGTTTGATATTGATCATTGGTACTAGCAAAAACCTGAAAACTATTACTAGTAGTTACGTCTAATTCCTGTTCTTGTTTTTTTTTTTCTCGGGCCTCTGTCTTCAGTAATATTAATTTTTCTGCCAATTACCAACTCTCAAACACCTGTTTCTTTGTCTGTGCAAGGAGCATTATCATAGCAGTCCATTCAAGCCACAGAGCTTGGGTTTCCACGGACTCCTGGCCTCCTTCATAACAGCGACTAATTCCGCCTCAAGTTCTTCTCCAAACCAAAACGCTTTAGTTCGCCTGGTTATTTAGGTAAAAATAATTCTAATTCCCAATTATTTGCGAAAAAGTTTTTAAACGAAAACAACTTAAAACTTTTAGATTATATTATTTAAAACAAAGTTCTTACATTTGAATCTTAAGTAATATTTTTATATCAAAATATATGGAAAAATGACCTGATGTAGCTCAAATATAAAGTCATTAAAGTATATCATTGCTACCAATAACCATCATTTTCCCATTCATCTCAGAAAAGATCTTGCAATACATCTTTTGCTACCTGTGCAGTGTACAATGTAGATGACAGAAAGTTGAGATGTTTACCATACTCGCTCAGCTGTATACACCGAAGATCAAGCAACTCAAGAAGACTCCGATGAAGAAGAGGAAGAGATTGAAGAATTCAACTTCTTACAACCATATTTCTCCTTGAACCCACTTACAGATCTGTTCCTGATGCAGTTCCATATTTATTTCGAATTTCTTTTGTTTTATTTTACTATTGTAATAAACAGTCTTTTTCAACAAACCTTACCTAGTAAAATTGTGAGATTTCATGTTCTAAAATAGTAATAATATTTCAATCTGGAAAGAATCTTGTTTCATTTTCAACACTTGGGTACATGCTCAAATACTGCATCCATCCTACGGCTATACATGTAAAAAATACTTTTATATTACAATATACTTAATAGGGATAATAGCAAGAAGAAGCAAAGTACAAAATTCAAAATATAATAAACATGAAGTTTCACAAGTGAAATGCACTTACATAGAGAAACAGCCCAATTTATAATCTCCCCTCTATATCCAAAAGTACTTAATAAATAAAAAAATAATAGAAACTTTCTTATGCAAAATTTTATGTTCTTACAATTTTGCATCAAATAAACAGTTCCTTAGATATTTGATGAAAATGGGCGCAATAATCCTGAAATTTATCACCCTAAACCCCAACTCTACCCTACCCTATTTGAGAAAAATTAAAAAAAAGGATTTGAACTTCTTTTACCCCTTAGTATGTTGTATGATATTGTAATTTAGAACACTCAAACGGATAACTGTAGCAAAATTCAGACCCACATGATTTATTTTTTCCATTTTTCCTTTGTTACCTGGACTCCCACTGCTGAATTGTGATTTAAGTTTCCTCTAAGAGATTTCATATGAAATTTTCCACTATTAAATATGCCATTCAGATAAATGACGCATTGTTAATGCCATGATAATATTATGTGTTAGTTAGAGTACTTAACACTTACCTTCAATCATGAGCATTATTTTTGATGATCATGGTCAATAGATGTCCTATGTTACCCATGAGAATTCAGAGTGATGCCAATAATCAGAGTTGTACGCCACTTGTATTTCTTTTTATTAATTAAAAGAAATACAAACGTATTAAAATATTTAATTTTAACCTAATAATAAAGCAACTGTATTACAGAAATATTGAATGAAATTAAATTCAAATATTACAAAATATAAAACAGCTTAAGAAATAAATTTAAGGAAGGATATGATGTCATAGCCCAGTGGCATCTAATGTGCATTATTTACACTTTGTAGATAAAAACAATAGAGGTCCTATCCAATTTAAACTCATAATTAACAACTACAGAAAACTAGAATATTGCTTATTTAAACTTTAATAATTCTTTATGCAAAATAGGAATACATTTATGTTTTAATTTTTCAAACTCTTCCCACAATGCTTCAATTTCTTTATGGTTTTCTTCCACCTTTCGAATGAGATCTCCTTTTTTTACTATAGCTTGATACCTAAAAAAAAGAAGATATATATATACACACATATATATATATATATATATATATATATATACATATAAACAAAAAAATTCACCAAGTGAAAAAATTTAAATGTTAGATTATAATTGGAAAAATCCTACCATATAGCCTTGTGTCTTTAAAATGCAGGTAAAAAAATTAACCCTTCAATGTTCCACCTATTAAAGATCATGAGGGTAGAAAAAACAAGATTAATGCACTCAATAACATCCAAACACTTACAGAAAGAAAGGGGAGGAACAATGACTGAGCTGAATTATCTATGTTAGCTCCTATTTCATTTTGTTTTTAGATGTCATGGAGTGAAGGAATCTCGTTTTTTCTGTCCTCATGATGCCTGAATTGATGAGACATGTTGACGGGTAACAACACAAGTTCATGGCCGTGGTGAATACTCGCATTTGAACTGTACATTGTTGCCAAAGACATCACAAGCTCAGATCGAAAGAAGGCTCTTTTATTGCATTGTGGAGGTACTGATTTACAAGATATTTATTATTCCTTCCCTAAAGAAAAAATACAATCATCAGTGAAACTCGCAGATAAACCTAAAATTGTTCTATCTTACCAAAGATGGAACAATCTGAATATGATCAGGTAGTTAACAAACTATGTGTCAACACCTTAACTGAACGTTTTGTGCTAAAGATAAATATTGTTTATGAACATCACCTTTCTAGAAACTTCATCATCATCATCATAATCCTATTCCTCTTTACCGCCTATGCAGTGTGAGGTTGCTTCTTGTAGAGCTTGGACCAGGTAGACCTTTCCAGTACCATCTCTCGTCTACTGTTCCATTCCAAACCTCGCTTCTGGAATGCATCTCGCACGCTCTCTTCCCAGGAGATTCTGGGTCTTCCTCTTGGTCTCCTACTCTGCAAGCGAGTCTCATATGTCTTCCGTGCGACTCTGTTCCGGTCCATACGGAGAAGGTGCCCAAGCCATCTCAACTTGTTTTCATCTATTATGGTTTCGACCGCTTTGGCGTCGAGATTGGCCCGGATTGTAGTATTGCAAATTCTGTCTCGTCTGGTCTTTTCCTCCACCTTTCGCAGGTATTGCATCTCTAGAGCCTGGATCTGGCTCCTGTGTTTTGAAGTAAGTGTCCAGGACTCGGAGGAATACGTCAGTATAGGAAGGAATACTGATCTGTAGACCGTCGTCTTCGTTTCCTTCGTCACCTCTTTTCGGTTCAGAAAGCCTTTCCTAACCCAGCCGAACATTCTTCCAGCAGCTCCTATTCTCTGCCTTACCTCCTCGTCAATATATCCATTTTCTTTGAGTTGAGCACCCAAGTATTTGAAACTTTCCACCTGCTCTAAAATCTCACCGTCGACCCTCAATACCCTCATAACCCTGTGAGGTTTTCTTCCAATGCGCATGCATTTTGTCTTCTCAGGGTTAATTTTCATATTGATTTCTCTTAAATCTTCCTTTAGGATATTAATGTTGTCCTGGAGGTCACGGTCATTCTGGGCCAATAGGACTAGGTCATCCGCAAACGCCAGCAGAGAGTATAGAGTAGGCTGCATATCTCTGTGACCCAACTGAAAACTTCGCATCTTCTGTTTTACTTTTCCCAGCACCAGATCGAGAATCAGTACAAAAAGAAGTGGGCTCAGGCTACAATCCTGTCGTATGCCCAGTGTTGTTTTGAACTCTCGAGAGGTATGGTTTCTTGTTCTAACAAGATTCCTCATATTTCCGTATAAACTGCTTACGGCTCTTATTAGTCCATTATTCACACCTTTTTCAACTAGAGCCTCAATTATATCCTTTTTCCTAACCCGGTCAAAGGCTTTGCAGAGATCTACAAAGCACACAGAGAGTTCCTTTTCCCTCTCGAGAATCTTCTCTGTGATTTGTCACATAGTGAAAACTAGATCTTGTGTGCTTCTTTGACTCCTGAATCCATACTACTCCTCTTTAATCTTAGATTCTACGGTGCTTCTGACCCTTGTCTCTAGGATTTTTGAGTATATTTTACTGGGAACACTAAGGAGCGAAATACTTCGATGATTGTTGCAATCCCTGTTGTCTCCCTTCTTATATAATGGCACAATGACTGCGACTTCCCAGTCCTTCGGGATCTTCTTCTGTTTCCAGACCAGATTCACAAGATGGAGAAACATTTCCTGGCCTTTACTTCCCATAAACCTCATCATTTCCGGAGTGATTCCGTCCAGTCCCGCCGACTTGCCGAGTTTCATCTTGGCGATGGATTCTAGCAATTCTTCTTCATCAATGTAATCGTCCTCTTCTGAGGAATGCTCCTCTACAACCTGGATCTCGTTTAGGTTCCAATCTGTTCCTTCCAGCAGCTCTTTAAAATACTCTCTCCACCTCTCCATTATCTCATCATTCTGCCAGACAATGCTCCCCTCTCTGCTCCTAATTCCTTTCAATGTGGTGGGTCTCTCCTGGCGCATTTCTTTGATTGCTTTGAAGAATAGTTTTTGATTCTAGAAACTTGAAATAGAAAAATGATGAAAATATTGAACAATATTTAGTTTGTTTGTGGACACATGCCATAAAATGTTAATTTGTAATACTTGATCTTAGAAAGTCACTGGAGCACTAGAGGAGCATTTGCAGGATTTGAAAGGAAAAAAATCGGATAGTGAAGCTAACTGGGTTCATGAAGTTAAGCACAATAAATTCCACAAAGGCCATAAGGCTGTAAATAAATATAACAATCCTAAATGTTTCCGCAGCAATAAGGAAGAACATCTTGCCAATGATCCTGCTTGCTCTGGTTGGGACTCTATTTCTTCAATATGTGGTGGGCATTCCCACATTGCTGCATCCTTCCGTTCAAAGGCAAACAATTCTGGAGTTTCTAAATCGAGAAATTTGAAAGAAGTTGAACATGCAGCGAATCACAAGACATCCAATGGATATATAAAGGCAGGTAAGTGTAAAGATTGTTCCTCCTCTTAACATAACTGATGCAAATATCACTGAGAGCATCGGCGATGAATTGTTTAGTAATGCATAAAGGACAAACAGACAGGCATTCATTTATATATATATATATATATATATATATATATATATATATATATATATATATAGAGAGAGAGAGAGAGAGAGAGAGAGAGAGAATTTTAATATTACTTAGCATTTTCTTTTAAATAAAAGTATTTGTTAAATAACAAAACAATTAATTTTATTTATAAACTCTAATTTAAAGAAATTTATTTAATGAAGTTCAGTATTTATTTGAAGGTTTAAATAAATACTTATTTAAATAACTTGCCAGCTTTGAAGTAGGCACATACTGAGCTAGGACGGTTTGGAAGTGGATTCTCTGTTGCTCCTCTGTTACACCTATGTTGCAACTCTGGTGCGTCTTCTCTGCGCTCAATTTGAGGCCGGGCTTATGTTAAGTTCAGATCAGTAATTTAGATAGGTTGCAACATTCACGTGATTGATAGAAATGGTATATTTTTTTATCATATTTTATAAAATCCCTTACTAAATATCATATATATATATATATATATATATAAAAAAAAATATATAAAAAAATAAAACCTGTACCACCACAACCCAGTACTATTTAGGAAAAGCAGTTTCTAGGTCAACGGTTGTGCAAGGAGGTGATTTGACCGAGTCATGCTCAACCGCCAGGTTTTCTCCCTTAATTAATTATTTGATTAAGGGTACCCACTTTATAGAGGCTGGGTGTGTCCCAGGAGGGTCTCCCGACCCAGGGTCGCCCCACGGCCAATGAAAAATATCATATATATAGCTAAGTGAAAATAAAAATTATAGACTTTGAAATATAGACATTGTTTATCAAATGAAAACGGTGAAGAAGCTACACTACCCTTACTTGGTATCACTAGCGGATCAAGGATTTAATTTTTGGGGAGGCTTCAGCCCAAGAGCTTTTTTTTTTAAGTATATAACAATAATTACTTTTTTTTAAAAAAGAAAGAAATTAACTACCTATATGAACTGGTGTTTAACCAACTATGTGAAATGGTGACTCTTGAAGTCCTATTAAATGTAATTAAACGAACTATAATACTTTAATAGATAATTTGTTAATATTTTTTTTTCATAAAACATAGCTGTTTTACCATTTTTGGGAGGGCTTCAGCCTATTTAATATAGTTCAGATTAAGTATATATTTTAGTTTATAAAACAGGTATTTTTTAACAAGTTTATTATGTTATTTTGAATTATATGTAAATAAACTATGTGAATCAATAGTAAAATTAATATAGGAAAAATAAAAATAAAATAAAGTAAATGAAAACTGGGAAAAAAACACTAAACAACAAATAAATAACTCAAGATTAATTTGAAGTAGATCTGTTGATTGATGTTTTTAAATAGGTTTATCTGCGAAAAACAAATAAAAATGGTTTATTAACACAAATGGAAACCTTTTCTACAAGAATTTATTTGTTTTGGGATGTTTTCTTTACAGAAGGCTTTACACCCAGTAGCACAAGAAACATTTTTTCTATAGCTATTTAATTGCTAATTTTTTTTTTTATTTTAAATTATTGCCAGTAAAAATATTTAAATATCTTAACTACAACAGTCTGCGCCTCAGTAAAATAAATTAATAAAACAAATGGAAACTATGTACAAAAAATATTACTTGTCTTGGAGTGGTTTCTGTAAACCCTCTTCGACAGGAATCAGTTGATCTTTAATTGCCTGGTTCATGATAGTCATCTTGTTTACTTTTTTCTCAAGAATCATATTTTGATCTATCAAACTCCTTTGGTCTTCTTTTGCTTTTTTAATGCTCTTCAGAGCATCATAATACTTCTTAAAATATTTCCTCACAATCTAAAAACGACAAGAAGCTTCTAAATAAGAAAAATTGTAGGTATATTAATTATGGAGAGCAAAATACGAATAAAATATTAATTAATGTTCACTCGTCTTATTTTAATTTATACCTTAGACAAATTTTTAAGTACCACAATAATGAGAAAAGAAATATAAATACTAATTAATATTATTAACAAATTGAATGACGACCTATGATCTAATCCACTGTCAGTGTTGTAACATAGCATGTCCTACTACAAGTCATCTCTTAGTTATTTTAGAATTCACGCATTTACAAGTATAATGAAACTCGCTGCAATATTTTGATAATTACTGAGTATTAAAATGGGAGTTTTTTATATTGATATTATAATAATGCAACATAATCGAGTTAAATAGAATTTTTGAAAAGTATTGTGTCAGTCAACGTTTCAATACTAATACAATATTAATTAATGTGTATTTGTCTGATTTTAATGCCTACCACAGATATGGACTATTAATGCTATTGATTAATGATTAAGTCAATGATCGAACATCATTTTTGTTTGCATTGTTCTGTCCTATTTCATACAAATTATTTAATCTACTGTAATTGTGGAATGTATTACTTATTCTTTTTTGGATTATATTCCTTGAGGATGTAAAAAAATAACTTTTTCAGTGTTTCAACTGCCTCCCGCAGTGCCACATCCTACGCCCTGAAGACGACCTGCAAAGTGGGTCGAAACGTCGGCAAAAATTAAAATAATTTATATATTTTCATTTTTTTATTTATTTGACCGCACCCTCGACTAACTCCTTCTCATATTATATCAACGGTCAACCATCTCTACATCATTAAAAATAACTTTTATTTGCTTTACTTATATTTATTTATTATATTTTGATTCATTTTTTGCTTACATTACTTCTTCTTTTTTGGTTTATAATTATATTTTTGGTTCATGTTTATAGCCTTCAGGAAAAATAATTTGTAAAAAAATGTAATTTCATATTAAATTACAATATATAGTAATTAATTATAAGGCACGGTAAATGAACTTGAAAACTTTAAAAATTGTAAACGCCATCAAGGTAATCATAATAAGGTAAGTGCCAATATTAGAGTAAGTATACAGGAAGTGTATACAGAATAATATTTAATGCACCTTAAGGATATTTAAATAAACTACAATAAATCTAGGCCTATATACATATTTACAATTTCATTTGCAGAAATTATATTCAAATTTTTGTATTCCTTTGAATAAACTTACACGTAAATACCATTTGAATAAAAATATACATTTTAATATTGGCAGAGCTTGACAGCGTTTTTAGTGTACCTATTGTAGGTCAACATTTTTCATCTAATGAATCAATTATTTCCATTTGAAATTTGGCACACCTTTAGCCATGTACGTTTTTAATTAGTATTTTTTTTTTTTGTGTTTTAATAGAATTGATGTGTTTGGTGTTATATAATAGAATTGTGATTATGTTGGTATGAATATTGATGTGAAAAAAAGATTGTATTGTGATTTATTTTGAAGTGTGAATTGGTGTTTAAATTTTGGTTTATATATTATGGAAGATCTAGTTTTAATTTATGTTTGGTATTTGTATGATTGTTTTTGTGTTTGTGTATGATGTTTTGGTTATGTTGGTGGTGATTTGGGATTGTTTTTTGATTTTTGGGGAATTTTTTAGGTAGGTTTTGAGAAAGTGAGGTGGTTAGTGGGTTGGGGTTAATTAATGGGTGGGTTAATTAAATTGAGGTTGTTGAATTTATATGTTGATGTAAATAAATTGTGTATTAATGTTTATGTGGTATGAGATGAGCATATTTAGGGTGGTAAGGGTAAGGTAATGTATGATTAAATGGGAAGGGTTTATTAGGAATAGTTAATGATATTATTGTAAAGGTAGTTTTGTATGATGTGGATGTTATGTTTTAAATTGTTGATTAGGTTTTACTTGTTGAGTGGAAAGTAATGATATTAGGGAGGGGGGGGGGGGGGGGTAGTGTGGGGAAGGTTTTTTTGGAGATGGTGGGAGTGGGATTTGAGTGGGATGAAATAAAATAATTTAAGAGAGTTTGTGAGTTTTAAAATATAGTTATAATTGGTAAGTGTTGTGTGGATGTTGGGTATAGAATGTTAATTTAGGTTTGGATATGGATTTGTTTTTTTTTTTAAGTTTAGTTTGATGTGTTGGGGTTTGGTTGTTAAATTGTTGTTGTTGTTGTTAGTATGTTATTTGTTTAATTGATGATGTTTTTTATTGGATTATGATTGTTGAATTATATCGAATAAATAATATCATAATTAATATTGAATAAACATTTTAATGAAATTAAACTATTATTTTTAATGTATATTGGTTACATACAATATACTTAAATGGGTGCTGAACATTTAAAGAAGAATGAAAGGAAATTACAGATTTAATTGCAATTATTTTACTAACTTCTAATAGAATAATTTATTTAATAATTTTTCCTAATTTATAATTATAATTTATTGAAAACAATTTTTTAATCAGATGATTTTACTATCTGTATTCTACTATCAATATTTATTACTTACTTTTCTCAGCTTCTCCCCTCTAACTAAGTCATAATCTCTGGTTTCATATGGTTCTTGATCATTCATTTTCATTTCAGTGACATAATCACGGACATATCTGTTGGTCTGAAAAACAAAAAAATAATAATATAATTATTGTATATTATGATTTGTCAATAATAAACGTAAATCAATTATACCTTTAGGAGATTTAAACTTTTCAGGAAAGGCAAACAAATAAATAAATAAATAAATATATATATATATATATAGAATAGAATAGAATAGAACAAAAAACTTTATTCTGGGACTAAGTCCCTTCAGAATAACAAAAATGTACAAAATAATAGAATATTACTGGCCTGAACGTTGAAACAATAAATAAAATTGATAAAATAAAATAAAAAGTAAAGAAAACCTTAGGTGCACAAGCTATATACAAACAGGTAAAACTATGTACAGAGCATTTAAAATTACGAACAAAACAATTAAAACTATGAACGAATCACTTGAACTATGAACAAAATTATATTTAAGGGTTGAACAACATAAACATACACTTTGAGAAATGAAGAACGAGAAAGAGATACAATGAGTTCATTTCATAAAAAAAAAAAAAAAAAACTTTAATTGAATATATATATAAAAATAAACATTTACTTATAATTGAATAAAAAAAAAAATATAAAAAAAAATGTATGTATTGAAATTCCTACGTCGATAGTAGGAAATGCATGTACTATCTCTTACCAAGTGTTATGATTATATGATTGCTACACAATACATATATAATATCAATAGTTAGCTGGTATCAGACTGTTTTTGGAACAGGAATTGGAATAGGAGGTTTTTGAATGTATACAGGGAAGGGGCATGTCGAATTTTGATCGGGAGGGAATTCCAAAAGTTGACAGAGCGGGCTATAAAGGAATTTTGGAATGAGGCAGATCTATGAGAAGGGATGTATAGGTCAGAGGGTCGGGATCTTGTAGTGAGTGAATGGATTGAGGACTTAAATTGGAGAAGGTTGTAGGCATAAGAAGGACGATGATCGGTAATGATTTGATAAAGGAAAGTGCCAAGGAAATATTGTCTTCTTAAGGAGGGGAAGAGCCACCCTAACTCAGTGTAGTGGTGGGAGACACGGGAGCGTCTCGGGGTTCCAATTACAAATCTTACGAAGCAATTCATAAGTCTTTTGAGTCTATCACGCAGTTCCACCGAGAGGCCATCGTACACCACACAGCTGTAGTCAAAGTGGGGAAAGATGAGAGAGGAAACTATGAGTCTACGGGTATTTTGGGGTAGAAGATGGCGGAAGTGATGGAATAGTTTGAGGGTAGAAATTGCACGGCGGGATATATGAGAGATATGGTGATTCCAGGAAAGGGTTTGATCTATGAGAAAGCCTAAATTTTTAACAAAGGGATAGAAGGTGATGGGGTGGTTGTTTAGATAGAGTGAGGGAAAGTTGGTGTGGGATCTAAGAAGGGGCTTGGAACCAATGAGAATGGCCTGAGTTTTGGTAGCATTTAGCCTTAATCCATTTAAGTTGGCCCAGGCACTAATTCGATCTAAATCTTCTTGAATTTTGGCAAATGCCACCAATAACTCAGCGGGAGAAAAGGATAAATAGATTTGAGAATCGTCGGCATAAAGGTGGTGGGAACAATGGATAATTGAATCATTTAGGTCATTAATATAAGAACTGAAAAGAAGAGGAGACATGCTTGAACCCTGTGCAACTCCTGAGGATAAAGGAAGGTAGGCAGATAGAGGTTGATTAGGTATGGAAACTGCTTGGGTTCGTTGTGAGAGGAAAGACTGGAACCAAGAGATGGAACTATTGGAGAAGGATAATGATTTTAGTTTGTTGAAAAGGATGGAATGGATAATGGAATCGAAAGCTTTGGAGAAATCAAGCAGTATAAGTATGGTTAGTTTTTTGTCATCTATTGCAGTCTGGATATCACTAGTAATTTTAATCAGAGCAGATTGTGTAGAGTAGCCAGGACGGAAGCCAGATTGGAGAGGATCGAGTTGGTTGGATTGTTCAAGGTAGTTGGAAACTTGGGATTGCACTAACTTTTCTAGGGGTTTAGAAAGATTGGAAAGGATTGATATTGGGCGGAAATCTTCGGGAGAGGATGGATTAGGCTTTTTGTTTAAAGGAAGGACAATGGCTTTTTTCCAAGAGGTCGGGAATATTGAATTCTGCAGGGAGAAATTGTAGATGAAAAGGAGTGCTGGGAGGATTTCAGGGAGACATAATTTTATTAGTTTGATAGGAATGCCATCTGGGCCTACGGAATTGGAACGGGATTTCATTATAACGGTAATAAGGTCTGTGGGAGAAATGTCGGAAAAATAAAAATTATTGTCGTTGAAAGGTACCTCTGGAGAAAAGCCGGAAGGGGATGGTAAAGAAGAGGTGGAAACCGATATAAAGTGGGAGTTTAGGTCATCAGGTGATATTGGGAAAACTGAGGAAGGGGATCTAGAAGGTTCACAGAGGGAAAGCTTACGAAGTAGAAGCCATTTTGATTTGATATCAGGAGCTGAGGAAAGGGCTTCGTGAAAGTAGTTCGCTTTCGCTTGTCGGGTCCTTATCTGTGTCGTGTTACGAAGCACTCTGAATATTTGATAATCATCTGCAAGCCTAGTCCGTCTGAAGCGTCTGCGTGCAGCGTCGCGTCTCTTCTGCAGATCCTTAATTTCATGACACATCCAAGGAGCAGGACGATGACGGAAAGTGGAGGTTTTCAGAGGAGCGTGGGTATTGAGTATATTGAGAAGATTGGTGGTGAGAATATCAACCATGGTGTCGATAGAGGAGCAATGATATATTCCATTCAAATCCAATGTTACTAGATCAGGTAATATTTTTTCTCGAGTAAGGGCATCCAGTTGGCGGAAAGTGATAGTTCGAGGATGGATTGGAGGAGTGCGGATATTATACGTTATTTGTATCAGATCATGAGATGAAAGAAAGGATACTGGCAATTGAGAGGCGGAGAGGAGGTTTTGTGCTGAGTCGATGATGTAGTAGTCTAGCCAAGTGTCAGATCTGGTGGTGTGGTGGGTGGAGGAAAAAGGAACGATGAATAGGTGAAGTGAGAAAAACAGATATAATGTAACATATTTTATTAGGGCCTTTATAAATTGTAATTGTTAACAGAACTCATGTTCATGTGTTGTTCTTTTATTATTTTTGAACTGTGTGAAAAGAAGTATTTATATGTAATATATTTATAAATTCTAATTTGTTTCTAGATATTGTATTAATTTTAGTTATGATTTAATTGTAAAAATAATAATAACATTTAACTAGCGATAAAGATTAAAATGTACGATGTATTAGAGCTAACGGACGGGAGGTCCTTCTCTGTCAAAGGTTGAATAGTAAATGACTAGTGGTAGTGTTTTGGAGGTTGCGCGTGGCGCCCTCTAGGCGTTGTTCTAATGAACTATTTAATTCATTTATGCAAGTCATTATTTTTTCTACTAATGATTAATAATTTTAGTAGCGCAACCTGTTAATTTCCTAGTGAACTATGAATTTCATTTAGAAGCAATTTATTATTTCTTTTTGTAATTACTGATTTTGTAAATAACTAATGTTTGTAATATTTTTAAAATAAGTATTCATGTACTATAATTAAATAAAAATAAAAGGAGTTTGGACTTAGAGAGATCTCAGGGCCTAATTAAAATAATTGTTACTAGTGTTGTCTCTCACAGGTCTGAGGGCTCACTATTAGTATAAATAGCAGCCTGACCCCCTAGGGCAGGCACTCAAGTACAAGGCACAATACAAGACACAAGTATATAGTGACACACCTAACATCACGACACTTACAACAACTATAGACATCGACAACGCCATTAGTACATTACACAACATTATCCATAATGCAGCGAACACCACCATACCCACCTTCAACCCCATTCCAATTCACCTTCGCATACCACCAAAACACATCCTATCAATCATAAAACAACGTAACAACATCAAGAACTGCTGGTACAGAACTAAAGACCCTACTTACAAACCTATCATAAACAGCCTTACTAGACAAATAACATCCCTTATGTCGCAGTGGAAAACGTCAATATGGCATGAACAACTTCGCCGGACCCACAACGACCATAAAAAATTCTGGAAACTAGTCAGAAGCCACAACACCAAATCCAAATCGGTGAAAATCCTTCGAGGCGATGAGCTTCTCACTCCTGCAGACCAGGCTAGCATTCTATCAGACTACTACGTAGAACGAGACGATGCCCGTACTGACACCATTTATCATCACATCTCCCACACGGATAACCTAAATAACACAATATTCTCCACATATAAAGACCTGACTGCAATTTTGAGAAAAACAAAGGGAAACAAGTCTGCTGGAAAGGACAATATTCCTTCTGTCCTTATCAAACAACTACCCCGTAAAACCCTAATGTTTCTCCTTAACATTTTTAACTCATGCTCACGCCTCAGATATTTCCCAACGGAGTGGAAACATGCTATTGTCGTTCCACTCCTCAAACCCCGGAAACGAGGAGCGGTCCCGGAAGATTATCGGCCGATCAGTCTCCTCGACCACATCTCAAAAATATATGAGAAACTAATCCTCATCCACATCCGAAAACACTGCGATTCACATGACATTGTACCCCCTGAACAAACTGGGTTCTCTCGCGGCGGTAGCTGTTATCACCACGTGGCTAAATTACAGTACGAAACAGCTAATAACCTAAATAAAAATCTTGCCACAGCCATGATCTCCCTTGACTGCACACAGGCTTTTGATTCTGTATCCCACTCCATCCTTATCGATAAACTCAGGCATCACCAATTCCCTGTACAACTAGTCGATATTGTCGGCTCATATCTCAGTGACAGGACCTTCTCAGTTCGAGTCAAAACTGACATGTCACCCCCTAGGCCAGTTACTTGTGGCGTCCCCCAGGGCTCAGTTCTGGCGCCTATCCTATTTAATATTTACACTGCCCAAATAGTTGGGACCAAAATTGACAAAGTTCAAATAGCTGCTTATGCTGATGATATTGCTATCTACACAGCAAGCATGGGAGCTAAACACGCAATGCGCCGAGCACAAAATGCAGCCCAACTGATCATAGACCAACTTAAAAACATAAACATCCACATCAACCCCGCAAAAACCGACGCCATCACATTCTCATACAAGAAAACCACTGAAAAACTACCTAAACTTAACGGTCAAACTATAAAAACAAAAAGACATCTCACATACCTAGGAATAAAACTCGAATCACACTTATCTTTCACAGCGCACATACAACACAGAATACAAACAGTAAAATCTACCACATACCAACTCCGCCATCTACTCTATTCTCCAGGGCTGTCACTCAGACTCAAATTACTCATATATAAAGCCATACTCAGACCTTCACTTCTCCACGGTGCCCCCCTCCTACACTACCTATATCCCACAGCCCTGAAGAAACTACAACAATACCAGAACAGCATACTCATGAAGATCTGCAAAGGGACAACATTAGAAAGACGAAACATGAAACACATACATAACGAACTACAACTCGACTTTGTGCAACAACATATTTCAAGAAGACATATCAAGTTCTTCGACAACCTCCCCGCATCCTTTAACCCATTATTCCGATCCATCACCCCATCCCCCCTCCCTGCCAGATGGCAAGGCCGTAAGGGTCCAATAAACCCCACCAACATAATCATTTAACCCGCCTCACGGCTAGTCCTCCCCTCCCCATCCCTATCCATATCCCTATTCCTCCCCCCCCCCTACTTATTTTATCGTTATGCTTAATTTTTATTTTATTTTATATATTTTCACTTAACGAGCGGAGGACCCTCAACTCCATAGATCTTATCAAGACCTTAAATGGACAGGAAGAGATAACAAACAAAAATCATTCAACGCACCTTCAAATACCACAGGTAGAAAAAGGTCAAGGTAATTCAAAGTATCGTTCCGCTAGTGCACTGGTCCGATATGACACTGATATCATGGTTTGTTTTGTTTCAGAGGGATCGGAAAAAAAAAAAAAAAAAAAAAAAAAAAAAAAAAAAAAAAAAAAAAAAAAAAAAAAAAAAAAGGGCAGGCACTCTCTCCCGAGTCACTACCTTCTCACATAGGCTCCTGGTATCTCTCTGTCTGACAGTTTGAAACCAGACCAATGTGTTATTTTTTGGTTTTACCTTCCTCCTTCTCTTTTCTCTCCTAACCTACCTCCTCTCTCCTTTCGTAGGAATAACTTGGTTGGCCGTTGTTTTCCTACAGTCCCCCTTGCATCTTCCAGGTTGTCCCTGGGAGTGTAGGGTTACCTATCCTCGCAACGTCAGGGGATTGCCTCCTCGGTTGCAGAGCCCTGGATGTGTAGGGGTTGTCCCCCTATCATTCTTGGCGGTCTTACCTTATATACCTTATCCTTCTCATCCTGTCGAAGCTTGTACACCCCATTCTTACAAACTTAAAATAGATACACGAATACCAGGTTAATTGACTAACAGAAAGATTAAAGGTTAGAAGGACAGATTTCAGATTTTAAAAGACAAACGTCGGCGATAACATACAGATAGACAGAGAGATATAAATAAAATAAAATAAAAAAATAAAAATATTACAATAAATATACATATATATTTACAACTTTTGTTTAATCGACCTTTGAGTATTAAATTTAAACATAACCATTTAATGGGAAATAAGGTCACTTATTAATTATTTAATAGACTATTAAATGTTCCTTTCCTCTATGTTTATTGACATTTCGATCCGGGTATTTTTCTTTTTATAAGTTAACAATGGGATCCTCCTCAAAGTTTTAAAAATAGAGCTTCGATACCTCAGGCCAGGGACACATCAACAGTCTCAGTACCGTCCGCCAGCACATATATTAAGCTACCTTTTTCTTATGAACTTTGAACTGTCAGGAATAAGCTTATAAATGTTCTTAGTGTTCTCTGAATGGGTGGTGGAAACATTGTATATTTTCTACACACACACATACATATATATATATATATATATATTGTAATGTACACCTTTATTTAAAGTGAGTAAAAAGAAAAAGGGTTTAATAAATTAATGTTGAACAATTAAAAGGCAAGGTAATCTAGTTCTACTGGTGCAGGGAAAAGAATATGGTTGCTCTGTAGGTTCCCCAGATAGGAAAATCTCCTAGAGAAGAAGGGACGAAGGATTTTTGTTTTGGCAAGCAGTTGGTGTTTGGTTGCAGTGAAGAGAGGATAGGAGAAGGGTTACTGGCGCCAGTGGGAAAAACCCAGTAATAGTATTACCACCTTGGAAGTCGTTTGGCAGAGAGACTAGTTGTTTGGAAGTACAAGAGAGAATATCTTCCAGGGAGCTTGAGTTGAGGAGAAGAAAGTGTCACAATTTTGGAAGTTGTGTTTGGCAGAACATTGGAAAGCATTTGAAGATAAATGAATTTAGTGTAACAAAGGAAGAAACAGTGTATATAGAAAAAAGGTTAGCTTGCAAATTAATATTTGACTTTATTTTCAAATCAGTGTTTAATTTTAGTATAAATATAAAATATAATATAGTGTAAATAATAATAGTTTTTCTGAGTTAATCTGATTGTCAGTAACCCACACCTGAGATAAATATATATATATATATATATATATATATATATATATATATATATATATATTGCCATGTTCCTGGTCTCGCGTTTCTACAGCGAGTAGGGGGTTCCAGGAACCGCATTTATTTCAATTTAATGTATTTAATACTTATATTTGTATTGATATCGGTTCCAGAAGGGAACCGATCTACAGAAAAATATATAAATTATGTATTTATATGTTAGATACCACAGACCTCCTACTGTAGTATCCTAGATTGAACCATATATACTTCTTAGCGAATATCTTTTCTAAACGTACATTTTTCATTTTAAAATATAATGAAATATACGTACAAGAAACTAAAATACAAATACAATATACAATATAAAGTGTATTACAAATACAAGTACAATATAAAGTGTATTGAATTTTGTATTTTAGATAAACAAAATAAATTATTGAATTGAATAGGTTTTCTTTAATTATTGTAGCAAAGCTCGTCAATTGAATAAGAATTTTCTACTTGTTATAATCGAGCTTAAAACTTTTTTGAGGTGAATTGGAGTGAGATGAATCTCTATGATATAAAAAAATTGTTAGCGACTGTCATATTTTTTATTCATATTATTTTATTTGAGGAACCAAGGCTGCTGTAATTTGAAATGGACTTTCGGAGACACTGCTGCGCCATTTCCAGACTTCAGCATGTGTCCAACAAAACTATTAGGTGGAATATTCAGCGAGAAATAACTATGCTCTATGATACAGAAACAAAAAAGGTGAAATGGTATGGCCATTTACAAAGAATAACAGATTACCAATGGCCAAAATTGACCTTTCTTAACTCATAGAAAGGCAAAAAAGAGAACGGCCTAGGAAGTAATGGTTGCAGGATGTGGATGAAGGCATGGCTGCCAGAAGTCTTTGAGGGAAGATCGGCTAGACCGAAAGAAGTGGCCAGAACTTTTAATAACTACAAACAACTAAGTTGTAAAAAATCTTTGATAATAAAATAAATGTTTTATAAGACAATATGAACATCATCAGCTTTGTATTGACTAGAAATATCTTGAATTATTTTCAAAAGCTAAAGCAGTTACACTATTGGGCAATGGTCTATATGACTGAGATAACTAATGTGGCAGTTATGGTTGCCTGCAGAGCTGGGTGAAAACTCACTAAGTCATTTAGTCTTTGACGACATTTATGTGAAATAGCTGATCAGTTATTTTTTGATGTGATGATATGGCAGATCTGGACAGCTTCCTACTCCTCTTAAAAAATATAGTAATAAGGATGTTAGCTTTCTGAGCCTTCTCAGTCAATAAGAGACCTGGAAAGGCTTAACCAATTTATCTTCATCCTCAAAGTTTAAGATGTAACGGAGGAGAAGGGAATGTAAGATCACATGATTTCACTTTTTTGCATCAAAGCTTAAATTATTTTCATTTAAAATGTTCAATATTAAAGATAGATACTTATAATCATTATTTAATCCTTTCTTTTAAACATAAGATATGATATGGTATGTAATATATTGATAGTAGTGGAGACTATTTTGATTAAATAAAACAGTTATAAATCTTTCTTTTTAAATCAAATCTTGTTACAATATATCCAACATCAAGATAACCAGAATCCAAAATATAAACAATAAGCACAGTATAATGAATAAAAGAAATAAATTAATGCTCACTCTCATAAATTTAACATCCTTTAGATTATTCTCTTCAATCTTTATTCGTAAGCGTAATTCCTTATGAAGTAATTCTGTATCAAAAACTGAGTTCATTTGGTCATCCAATTCTTTCAGTTTCTCATGGTTTTGTTTCTCCAGCTCCTAATAAACAAACTCCATTCATAAATGAAACGTGGCCAATCAGTAAAAACAAAATTGTTCCATCAGCCATTTATAAATGTAATAATTTATACAAACAGATACAGTCTGAATGTTAAATTGAATAAAGACATAAAAGACCCTACCATAAAGAGGAAATAAAAACAACTATATTATATAGAATAAAATGAATGAAAGAAAAAAACATCTGGTGTGTCCACTCACACGACTTTCCTACCTATTTCAGAAAAGTTTTTATATCTTTACATATGTTCATGAAGAAACAAAAAAGAATTGAACTAAATTTATTTTCCTGAAAATTAAACAAACAAAAGATTTGAGTACGATTTATTTGATAAATTCAGGCAATGAAACCAGCTTAAGGTAGATCAGTGTAAAAAATTCAATACTCACTAATATTGCTGATCAAAAACTTTTTGCCATAGCTTAGTATTCTCAAACAATAATTTCTGTTAAAAGTAGAGGAATTAGTGAAGGTTGGTGTGATGCAGGCAACAGAATTTCTTAATTTCACTTAGTCATCTTTATTCTCTTATTCACCCCTTTCTGACACCAGGAAATGAACTCGTAATCTTTCATTGGGAATTGAACCGCTGTAACTTCGTTAATAACTGTCCAAAATGAACGATTTGTATATGGCCTTGTAGGGAATTTAATTACCTTTCAAAAGTTTTATTATAAATTTCACTGTATAATATATACTTAGAGAGTTAGGCCTTATAACATTTTTCTTTTCCTTATAACTTTTTTTCCTGAATTTTTTGGGGAATTTAGTTTATATATGAAAGTTGAAAGAACAGTGATTAGAACATTATAGGAAAGTTTCATCAAAATCGTCAGAGCCGTTTTTGCGCTACAGTCTATAGAAAAACGTGTTTTTCATTTATGCGCAAGCTATTGCGCATGGAGCAACGAATTTCTGTCACAGCCATCAGTAGTCGAAACCCTACAAAATAAAAAAAGAAGCAACAAAATCGTTTCAGTAGTTCCCGAGAAAATCTTGGCACAGACAGACAGACCAATGGCCAAAAATGTGTTTTTCGGACTCCGGGAGCTGTGAAACGTATAGATCCGTCAAGATTGCAATACTTTCCTTACCTAGTATAGGTAGGAAAGTAAAAAAAGAAGAAGAAACTAATCCATTACACTCCAAGAGAGTATAATGGTAGAGAGTAAAAAAAAAAAGTAAATAATTAATAAAAATAAAACTGATCATAAATAATTCAACAAAGGTAGTGTAGTAGATGGCCTCCAGTATTTACTCCTTTATGTGACATTGAGTGAAGGAATGAGAAGGAATATATAGGAATCTGAGGTTGCAGTATGAATTGCACTCAATTGTGCAGAGGACAAATTGCTCATTAAAAAGTCTCATATTGATAAACAATCGACGAAGAAGGGAGAAGCCTGGAAAAGGGCCGGTAGGTGGCAGCAGCTGGAGAAAAAAGAAGGACTTGAAAACTAGAGAGGGAAGAGGAAGGAAGCTTACAGAAATAACACTTTAGTAGATTAATTTATTACAGTTGTCAAAATAAATTGTTTTGTTATACAGGAGTGAAAAGTCAAATATTTCTTATTATTAATGCTTTCATACCGCTATAACTTAAATGCGAAAAATGTTTATGCTAGACTTAAACAGAATTTTCATTATTATCTAATTCAGCACTGTAATTGCAACTATTAAAAACACAAAAACTATAAAATAAAGAGACCTCAATCGATAATCAACCATCAGTAATTCATCAATATATGTGAAAACTTTAACTTCCCCTTTGCAGAAAAGAACCTTAAGCCGTTTTTTCCATCCATGAAACTAACAATAAATTCTTTTTCAATTGAGGTACATAATACACATAATTTAATGTAACTTCAATTTTAGAATGACTAATATATCCCTTAATTGTTCCTATACCCTCAGCCTTTAACTCTATACCATTCTTGGCAGCTGATATTTTTACAGTATTGCTCAATTTAGAATAATTATAAAATAAATTTATATCATTTACTAAATGCAAAGAACTTCCAGAGTCTAGACACCATCTAAAAGTATCTTGATCTTTTAAATTTTGATTATATGACATAAAACTAACATATTTATTAGCATCTGTATCTTCCGATGTACAGGTAAGGTAAGACTTCCCTCTTCCTCTTTTCCTGTAATGCAGTTGACTTCATTTGGTGGCATCTTATCCTCCATGGGTTGGTTCTCGTCCGCCGTGGGTTGATCCTTGTTCTCCATGGGTTGATCCTCGTCTCCAATTGTGACAAGTTCCCACCTGTTGACTGTTTCTACATTGAAATTTTTTGTGTACTGGCTGTCCACATCCAAAACACAGGAATGTCGAGCAATCGACAGATTTAACTAGTCTATTTTTACGTTTCTCTTCTTCGCCAAGTAATCTGTTCTTAACAAAGTCCAGTTTTCACTCTTCAATTGTCCCCAGTGCCGTAATAATATTCTCAAATGATTTAGGCATTGACAACAATATGTAATTAATTTTCTCTTCCTCAGAGAACTCGTTACTGGCATCCTTAAGTTGTGAAAAGAGTCTCTCCATTATGACAAAATAATCCAATAAAGAATTATGTTCGGTATATTTAATTTCACTTAATTCCTTTCTCAAAAATAATTTTGATCTAGTACTTTCTTTCTTAAAGTTATCCTCCAGTTTTTTTGTCATTTCATAAGCAAGTTTGTTCTTTAGATACTCAAGATGACTGTTGGCAGTTGCTGAGATAATAATTGCCAGAGCCTTGGCCTCCAGTTGCTTCTTCTCTGAGGATTTGCCAAATCCATCAATCTCGATTGCTCCTAGAACTCCATTGTCCCGCAGGATACTCTTGAGTCGAAATTCCCAGGCACTAAAAATATCTCTTGCAAAAGGGACAATCGGATATTTGTCTCTTGACATTTCACAAAAATTCTTCTTGAATTAATATCATGATTACACTTCTGGCTCTGGGTCCATAACCCTGTTCAGGGCACATCGTACATATTAATATTAAGGTTAAATCACATAATAAACAATACAATGAAAAAAACCTAACAGACACCACCCACTAGATCACTCAGTGTTACCAGCAATATCTTACATACAAATAAAACAATAATTTAAATATAAATCATTGTTATTACAACATCTACATTAGGCGAGATCATTAATAAAAATCAAACAATTCATGAGAAAGCTATCTTACCCTTTAAACTAACAACAAATAAATAAAGTTATTCTTTAACATAACATTTTTTTTACCAGTAGTAGCATTGGATAAAAAAATAAATCATAATAACAAATAAGAAACAAAGACCGGAAGGGCACGTCAACAGACAATCACATACATACCGTTATATCTTCATTTAATTTATCTATGTAACTCTTGCTAATATAGACACAATCAGCAAAATCTTCAATATCTCCTGTTTGGCGAGTCTCGACCAAACCATCTGGCAAAACCAGCTGAAACTGAATATTTAAAACTTTTTTTATTTAACTTTACAAGCAAATTTCTTTAATATTACTAGTAGAAAATAATGAGTATTAATGTTTTTCAAATAAACTACTTTTTTAAAAAAAATAATAAATAACATTAATCACAAAAAATGTAAGGAACTTAAAAAAAAAAATCATTAACATACATTGAAGTTATTCAAATAAAAATTAACTAACTTCCATTTTCTTGCAATGATTAGCAAGCATTTCTTCTTCTATATCCATCACATCTTGAATCTTTGTAATCCTTTCAAGATGAGTGACATAGTGTCTAAAATAATTATAAGCAATCTTTTCCAATGAAGGAATAAAATTTTTATATATATTGGCCTGGAATATTTTAATGTCCATTCTATATTTTATAATTATAACACCATAAAATTATACTTTGCAATAAAAAACAGTCTTACTTTCATATTTGCTGAGAGCATTGCATTCCTAGAATGTATTACCAATGACCAAACTGCAGATTCAATGTTGGGTGGACAATTCTTAATAGAATCCAGTTCTTCTAAAGCCTTAAAGTATTTTTTAGATGCTTCTGATAGATAAATGGGTTTATAATCTTGGTCTAAATATGCAGCCATTGCATGTAATTCATTACTGCAAGCATTCTTTTCAAATTCATCAGTTGCTGCTGGTTTTGTTCTGATATTGACAGATAATTAAGAAATCAAATTGTTTCTATATATACAAAGTATATTAATTAAATAAAAAAATAAAAATGACTATTAGCATAATACCAACAGCAAATCATAGGTTAAATATCTTAAAACATAATAAGAAAAATGCTAATGCTAATTCTAATTCTTATATATATATAAAAGCATTAGAATAATATCTGCGAGGACAAGAATAGACAAAAATAGAGCACAACTGTTTCTCTTCTGATTCTTCTTCGGGGGATCCTAAAGGATAGAATAAAATGAAGGTTGCAAGAGTTCCTGATTGGTAGAGAGAATGCGGAGTCCCTGAAGTGTTTCCTTACCGTAATTTATGAATACCTCGTCAACTGCTTGTTATACATAAACACTGTTGGTATAGAAGTTTTCATTTTCATTTGATTCTCCACTTAATATCTTACATCCGCTCATTTTTACAGAATATTGTAGAATAATACTATAATTGACAAATTTACAAATTGAAGTCATAAAATAGGTAAAATATAAAGGGTCAAGGAGTTTTGTGGGGTAGTACCTCTTCTAAGGTAGACCTGGAAAATGGTCTTCACAAAGTTTTAGGGGTGGAGGAGTTTGTGAAGCCAGGTGGTAGGTGGAGACTCTGAGAATACTTAAAACCCAAGACCGTCCGTGTGCGGTGAAGAACCGCATCCGGCTCGAGGTGGGCCTGCATTCGACTAAACACAGCGGATCTAGACCGGGAGGTCAATAAAAATCCTAGGTGTGAGACAGCAGTAGCACCACTACTGGCATGGACCCGAAAACAGTAGCAGTCAACTGGGTCCATGGCCAAGACTCTGACTGGCAAAGAGATTGAAATAGTGAAGGAGATGGAGGCCTACAGGTTAGACATACTGGGAATTGGCGAAATAAGGAGGTAAGGACAAGGAGAAGTAAGACTCGACAAAGGCTATGTGCTTATTTACTCAGGAGTCGCGGCTGGACTGAGGGCCAAGGAGGGGGTTGGCATGATAATGACTGAAAGGCTGTTAGCCAAAGTAGAAGACTGGGAGCCAATCTCTTCAAGAATAATAGTGGCAAACATGGAACTATTTTAATCTTTTTATTTTTTCTTCCTCCAAACTCTTACCTCACCATTTCTAAAGTACGCAGAGGTACAACCAAACCTATTTTAACCTGAGTGGGAAGGTTGAGATTCATTCCGTGGGTCTGCTACAAAGAGAACTTGAACCGACAGTGTTTCTGCAAGACTAATAGTTGACCAGATATTCATGAATTACTGGAAGGGGCCCAGTGCGTGTGGGCTCCATTCTACTCCCCACCAACCTGCCCTCAGGATCTCAGGTTAAGTTTGCCGATGGTTAGAAGGATGAGGGGTACACAGTGGCAAAACATTTTCCCGCCGATCCTTCTCTCTTTTATTTTATCTTCAACTCATTCCTACTCACTTCTAAATTTTTTTTTTCATTTCTTTTACGAAAAAAAAATTTAAAAGAAAATCGAACATGGAAAAAGGCGTTCTCGGTATGAGATGATTGCTAGGGTGGAGAGAGGAGGAGGAGCTTGGAAGGGAAAAGGTTGAGCAAGCTCCCTTTCTCGAGGACTCCTCGAAACACATATCAAATGAAATATATCAGTGCTCAATGTTTGTAGATCCAAATCTTTTCACTTTTTATACTAAATACCAAGCAGTTGTGGATTCTATTACAAATAATTAATAAGTAAAATTTTACTTTATCAAAACTTTGAAGATCTCAATGATTTTTTTGGGTAAACTCAAAGGACTTATCTTCTTCAAAAACTCCCTTTCTATCTTATCCGGCATTAGTACATACTTTTCAATCTCCTTCAAAATCAGTGCCATTTTTTTTTGCAAATACTTGATGAACACAGTTATTTGGACCCCTTTATCTAAATACTCATTTTTTAATGACCTATTAGTAAAAATGTTTGAAATTAATATTCATATTTCTTTAAATATGCAAACAGATAGTTAGTTAAATTTCAAAGAAGCTTACTTTAAAAAATTAATATGTTCAACTCCTTTATCAGCTGTAAGTCTTCTTAATTTTAATCTAGCAATTTTAAGTAACTCGCTCTGCATGCACGATTCTATTAAAATTCTTTTCCTTGTGGTTTCAAGAAGGCCTATATCATAACTGCATGCAATTTCCTATGAATATATGCAATATATATATATTTAAACATCACAATTTAATTGGGAATAAGGTAACTTATTAATTATTTAATAAACTATTGAATGTTCATTTCTTCTATGTTTATTGACGTTTCGATCCCGGTATTTTTCTTTTTATAAGTCAACGATGAGATCCTCTTCAAAGCTAGAATTTTAAAAATAGAGCTTCGATCAGGCAAGGGACACACCGACAGTCTCAGCACCGTCCACTACCATATATATTAAGCAACATAATTGTGATGGTTAAATTTAATACTCAAAGGTCGATTAAAGAAAAGTTATATAAATAAATATAAATATAAATATAAATATATATATATATAAAAATAAATATCTATATATAAATATAAATATCTATATATAAATATATATATATATATATATATATATATATATATATATATATATATATATATATATATATATATATATATATACACATTTGATTTAAATTTACTGAGCAAACAAAAAAGTCCCTTCAGGCACCGGGATATGATCTCGTAATTACTTTTACTGTATTATCTTTATTCCTAAAAAATATTTTAAAGGATTCAAAGCCTTGAACAGAGGACCTACATAGTACTAGGAAGGTGCTCTGGCTAATACACTACTACCACTATGAATGTCAATATTTTTTTTTTATTTGTTCTCCCCTTCCTCGCCTTTTAGGCTATTCGGAGATTTCCCCGGCCCGGGGTATAAAGGTGGGGGATCAATGCCAGAGTTAAAAGTCTCCCTGGCACTGCAACAAAAAACTTGTAGTTATTTTATCATACACTGACAGGCAAAAAATTCCACCCACTTGATTTTTTCATGTTTTCATCTAAAAATATTTCTGCTTTGGATTGGTCTATTGTTTTTAATGAATAAATAGGTAATCTTTTTGTTTGTTTTCAATTAGGGATGTTAATATAGAGGACAATAACCCTTAATCCTTAATTCAATGAAATGATTCTAGATTCCAATGTTTACTTTCTATGGAATCAAAATGTTTATTCAGTATCTTCAGTTCAGTGCCGTTTCTTGCAGCACATTTCTTAGTCTCCGGCTTTTAATTTTTTCAATATTAAGTTTAAAAATGCCTCTTAGTGCTGAGGATGTTGCGCGTGGTGTGGCACTTATTGATGATGGACCTTCCATTAGATATGCAGCTAATGCCATCGGAGTTCCATATGAAACTTTACGAGACACCGTCAGGCATTTTCGGGAAACTGGTTCTTACAATAGAAGGCCCGGTTCTGGATGGCATAGGATAACAGAACCACGGGATGACCGGTTTTTGACTTTGAGAATTTTACGAAACCGGCACCTTACCGTTGTTCAAGCGATTCATCAGCTCGAAGAAGTTCGACGTGTGCAAATTTCTGAACGTACCGCTCGGAGAAGATTAAATGAGTATGGATTAATGGCTTTTCGTCCAGTAAGAGGACCAGAGTTGACCAGAACTCACAGAGTAACACGGCTGGCTTTTGCTCGAGAACACAGCCATTGGACTATAGACGAATGGAGTGCTGTACTTTTTACAGATGAGTCAAGATTCGCTCTTCGATCTCCAGAGGTATGTGAAAGGGTGTGGAGAAGAAGAAACGAAAGATATGCAGCCTGTAATTTTTCTCAGAGCCAACCTTTCCAACATGGTTCCTTAATGGTTTGGGCTGGGATTTCAATGGAGCGCCGCACAGAATTGGTTGTTGTTCGTGGAGGGTCTTTGACAGCCATTCGCTATGTAGATGAGATTTTGGAACCTCATGTGTTGCCTATCCTCAACGAAATCGGCGATCGTTCTATTCTAATGCACGCCCACATGTCGCCCGCATAGTGCAGACGTTCCTTCAACAGAACAATATTGAGTTTTTGGCCTGGCCAGCACGTTCTCCAGATTTGAACCCCATTGAGTATTTATGGGATAACCTCGGAAGACGAATAAGAGCGCGTGCAACACTTCCTGATACACTGCAGGACCTTGAAAGGGCTCTTCGGGAGGAATGGGCTATCCTCCAGCAAAGGGACATTTCCCGACTGGTGGAAAGTATGCCAAGGCATCTTCAAGAAGTAGTGAAGGCAAGAGGAGGAAACACGCGCTACTAAACGATGATGTAATTAATTTCTTTTAGAATAATAATGGTTCGTTTTTCAATTTTTTTTTCTCTAATCTTTCTTACCCAATCACATATTGATTATTAAAGGTAAAAAAGATTATAAAATTACATAAATACTAAGTATTATCTACTATTACCATGTGTTATATACAAATACAACTTTACAGAAATATTTTTAGATGAAAACATGGAAAAATCAAGTGGGTGGAATTTTTTGCCTGTCAGTGTATATAATTCAGTTATAAGGTTCCGGGCAACACCCAGCCACCCCGCTCCTATTAAAATGAAAGGAATGTCAATTTGAGACATTTATATGATCATGCTGACAAAGTGGCATTTATCAGACATGCTGAACTTAGATAGCTGAACCACGTTGAAAGGATGCTTCCAATAAGATAGCCGAGAAGGGTCATGCAAAGAGTACCTGGTGGAAGGAGACTAATAAGAAGACCAGGCCTGCATTGACTGAACTTAGATAGCTGAACCACGTTGAAAGGATGCTTCCAATAAGATAGCCGAGAAGGGTCATGCAAAGAGTACCTGGTGGAAGGAGACTAATAAGAAGACCAGGCCTGCATTGGCTGGAGGTCAAGAAGAACTTGAACCAGCTTGGCATTCTTGAGATGGAGGAACCATACTCGAGACAGGAAGGAGCGAAAAGCTATTGTTGAGAAGGTCCTGGGCTCTCAGAAGATCATAGAGCCAATAATAATAATTTAAGTAATGCTGCATCATGTTCCTGTAATGTAATGTTTCTCGTAACTTCTACCATTCATTGACTTTCTTATTTCAATTGCCAATGAACTGTATGAGGCCAATGGAAATAATATTAATTTAACATTTAAAAAATAATTTAAGCCACAGCAAATAATCAATCAAAACATAATTGAGAGTTAATATTACTAGAGTTACTTCCCAGTTACCAGTGATAAGTTCAGACGGGAATTTAATTAGTTTTATCTTACCTTTATTTCAGTTTTAAGTTTCTCAATATCCTGATGAGCTAAGTTTGCATGATATTTTCGCTTCTCATCAATTTTTTTTTTAGCTGCCATGTAATTATTCATTGCGATTCTCTCCCTTTCAGTATAGCTTTCAGGATCTTTTTCATTCTGCATGATGGTCAATACTTATTATAAATAATAATACAAAATATATTTCATCGTTCAAAAATTTATAGTAATAACTAAAAGCCTGATGCCATTTATTTTATTTATAATAATAAAAGGCTTAAAGAACCCAAAGGTTCGATGCCGACACCACCAATCGCTTATTCCACACCTCCCTCCACCGTTTTCCGTCCAAACCTCGTCCCTTCAGATCGGCTTTAATGCAATCTTCTCACCTTCGCTTTGGTCTACCCCTCGGACGTTTACCATTCGGTACAGCAAATATTAACCTTTTAGGAATTCTCTCGTTAATAAGCCCAACAATTTTACCAGCCCATTTGATTCGCCGGGATGAAATCACCTCAATTATATTACCAGGATACAGTTCACGCAATTCAGTGTTGTGTAACCGTCTGAACTCTCCGGTTAATTAATCCTTCTTCGGTCCGAATATTCTACGCAATACTTTATTTTCAAAAACCTTAAGACGTTGCTCATCCCTTAATGTAAGCGGCCATGTTTCGCAACCATAAAGAACTGTAGGTAAGACAATGGTTTTATAGATTCTAATTTTTAAGTTGCGGGACAAGAGGCGCGAGCTAAGTAATTTTGCCACAGAAAAATAACAAGCATTTCCCGCCTTCAGTCTAACCTTAATCTCTTCTTCAATTTCGTTTTTTCTAGTTATCGTAGACCATAGGATACTTAAACTTCTCTACCTGTTCAAACATATTACCATCTATATATCAATATCACCAGTAATATCGCCATTTTTACAGCTAACCATATATTTTGTCTTATCCGTGTTTATTTCAAGCCCTAGTTCTTTACCGGCTTTCATTAACGTTGTCGTATTTAGTGTTATAGTTTCAATGTCTTCACTTAACAGTACCAGATCATCCACATAGCCCAGCACAGGTGTTGTCCCTCACAGATCCAACCCTTTTTCGGTACGCATTACCTCTCTAATGGCATGCTCTAATGGCAAATTGAACAGAACAGGCGAAAGGGAATCCCTCTGTTTTAAACCCGGACAAACTTCAAACTTTTCGGACAGATTATTAACGATTCTAACTTCATTGAGTGTTTCCGTCAAGCACATCCTAACAAAATTTACTAGTTTTTTTGGAATCCCCTGCTCGATTAGAATATTATACAGTTTCTGGTGGTCAACGGAATGGCAAGCCTTTTTGAAATCGATATACAGCTGGTGAACAATACCATTGTACTTTAATTTTTTCTTTAATATTTGCCGTACAGAGAATATTTGATCAATAGTTGAACGATTCTGTCTAAATCCGCATTGGTAGTCTCCGATAATTTCCTCGGCGTATTCCGTGATTCGACCAATTAAGATTAAACTGATATATTTTATAACATACCAGAAGGAGTGAAATTCCTTGACAGTAATTACAATCTGTCCTCGGACCCTTTTTGTGAATCGGAATAAGAATTCTTTCCATTCTTCAGGTAATTTCTCATTTTCCCAGATCTTTTTAACCAACCGATATATTTTAGAAACTCCAGCTTCCCCGCATGCCATAATTAGTTCAGTAGGAATATTATCGGTTCCCGCTGCTTTATAAGATTTTAATTTTCCGATAGTTACTTCAACCTCCTCTTTACTTCTTCTTCTATCAACGCTTCAGCACTCTGGTACTCAGAAGGAGGACACAGATAATAATTTCCCGTATTTAAAATATTGTCAAAGTGGTTCTTAAACTTATTTATTATGTGAACCGGATCGGTCATAATATTGTTATTTTCATCTCTAATTCCAGACATGATGGGCCCTAAACATTTACATGATCTGTTTATACCTTTGTACATGTCTCTTACATTATTTTAGGTTCTATTAGTTTCTATTTCAATTATTATATTTTTAAGATACTCCTTTTTTATTTTTGAGCAATTTTGTCGTTTCATTCTTTGAGGTTCGGAAGTATTCCAGATTGTCTTCGCTAGGATTATTTAGAGCTTTTAATTTAGCGGCTTTTCTTTTTTTGCACATGTTTAAGCATTCTTTATCAAACCACGGTTTGTTATTCTTATTTTCCTTTTTTCCTAGACACGAGTTACCGACCGCTTTAATATTATCCCTGATCTCTATCCATAACTCGTCAATATCCTCGTGGTCCTCATCAGGAAGCTCTAAAGCTTCAAACCTATTCTTAACATCTAGCTCGAATTGGGTTCTAATTGATGTATCTTTTAATTTTTCCAAATTAAAATTCTCTAAATCGAAACGGTTTTCTTTTCTCTTTTTTATATTAAGTTTTTGTCGAAATTTCGCGATTACTAATTCATGATCCGACCCATATTCTGCTCCGAAAAACCTTACATTAATTATACTGCTTTGCCATCTATGTTGTACCAAAATATGATCGATTTGATTTCGTGTTTGCGAATCTGGTGATGTCCAAGTATATTTACGAATATCCTTATGTTTAAACGTAGTACTTTTAATTATCAGGTTTTTTGAGATGGCAAAGTTTATCAGACGGATCCCATTATCATTACTACATTTGTGCAAACTTTCTTTACCAATCGTCGGAACATAAACTTCTAATCTCCACACCTTTACATTCGTGTCACCTACAAATATTTTCATGGAGTTTCGCGGTAATTTATCATAAGCCGATTCGAGTTTATCATAAAATTCACATTTGACTTCATCATCACTGTCTTCGGTTGGACAGTGTATATTTATTAACGGGATTTTAAACCAACGTCCCTGAAATATAGCTACCAAAATTCACTAAAGAATTGTATGTCCCTCAAAGTGGATAGTAATCTATTCCTAATTAGAAAGCCGGTACCTAAACAATGATTTCCGCTTCCTCCGTACCAAATAGAGCCCTCCCCTGGCCAGCGAACCTTTTACAGAACCTCGTCATCCAAATTGTACCCATTAACCTCATTCGTGACTGATTTTAACCCCCCTGTTGTGTTTTAACTCCTTACGTTCCACGTATCAATATTCAAATCCCTATTTTTCAACTTGAACTATGAATCCCCTAAAGCAGTCCCCACCCGGAGACACGAACGGGGGACTAGTTTACCTCCAGATAATGAGTGTTTTACATTAGGGAGATCCATGACTATTTGTGGTGTATGGTGAACTAAAAATATGTGAGTTGGGCGTTCAATCCTACATCACACCTTTCAGCAAGTCTGGTGGGCCCCTGCCTCCAGCAAGTCTGGAGGTCCTCTCCCTCCAGCCAGTCTGGAGGGCCCCGCTCATTGTTGGTCAGCGAGTCCATCGGACTTAGCCGGGAGGAACTTCCAAGGAACCATCCCCACATCCGCCAGCCGTGGGACGCTCCCCATACGCGGTAATGAGCGCGCGCGAGGGATGCCATTTATTAAAATTTACAAAAACATTGCTTTAATATTTTCAATATTATGTATACACTAACACACACACACACACACACACATTAATTGCTGGTAAAGGATTTAATTTGATTTTAGGTTTTCTACAAATTTCTTATATTTTTTATTGGCATATAGATAAAAAGAGATTCCACTTAAAAAATTATTAATTTTTCATTGTCGCTTAATCTTATGTAATCTTTATTTGTTTATCAGTTCTATAGCATATTTTTACATAATATGAGTTATGTTAATTGATTTACGGAGTAGCCTAAACTACCTGTGGTAAATTGATGTAGAGCATTTTTTTTCTCTTTATTTTTTAATTCACAACTGTCAATGTTCACTGAACACCAGTGAATGAGATTACAATATACAAATAAACAAGGAGAAAGGGTGTGATAGACATGAGGAAGAGAATAACCCAGTGGCTAATCTTGGGACATGTTAATAGTTAAACAAGAAATGCTCTCATCCAACTCCTTTTCAGCCTTCTACGGATATTATCGGGCATGGTTTTATGAGCCATGTCGTGAATGAGTCTATTGCGATGACTATAAATCTTACTGTGAAATCTTTTGTAGTAAGTACATATGTGTTCAGTGACGGTTTGTACGCGTAAATCTTTGTGTAGAGTTAAGTTACTAGCATTCCAACCAAGATCCTTGTGTGCATTATTTGAATTAGATAATTAATTTTCCAAAAAATCAACTACAAAAGAAAAAATTTATAAGTCTTAGAGAGAGAGAATTGGTGATATTTTAATATTAATTGATTACACGTATAAATAGATTTATTTACATATCTGCTGTATGTATGTTTCTGTTACAACAAAAATAATTTTAGTTTTCATTGATTTATTCATAGTTGATTATTTTTAATGACCAAAATTATTTAAAGAATTTTATTTATATAACTGTTAGAACACTATGTATTTATTGCATAAGGATTTTCTTAAATTAGTTTGAAAATAGTTTGATGAGAATTTTTGACTAGCTATAGATTTAGACTTGAGAATGGAAAAGAAAGCTGAAACATTGACTGATAAGATAGAAAAGGTTTGAAAACTTAATTATTTCCCTGAAATAAACATAACCAGTTTAATTCATTTTTGTTATAATAATTTTTTTTGTGTGCGATGTTTATTATTCACAGTTTTTAGTAATACTATCAATTAACAAATAGTTGAATAATAGTTTAATATAATTTATAAAAGGTATAAAATTTAAGGCTTAATTTCTAAATCTGTTGTCTCAGAAATGTGAACAGATTATGAAAGAAAAAATAATAATACAAGTTCTTATAAACTAAACTTACTAACATAAAGAAAATGTCTTACATTTACATGGCACTCCAGGTCATATTTGTTCTCAGACCTCTGCCCAATAACAGGTTCAACTTAAAAATATGTTTTAGGTCCCAAATGAAAGCTTATGATATATTATATCATGTCCAGACTTAAAAATTGAATATAGGCTACAATGTGGCACATATTATTAACAAATGTTAAAGGATAATTGATTACTTGTGGCCAAAAATCCTTATTCAGAGAATTTATGGATTGAGATCACTGAATCCAATTTTCTATTTTTAAAATTCAGAGTAGTCAACATATTACCAAAAAAAGAAGTTTCAAAATCAAGCCATTGATTGTTTAAAACTTGAAATTACCTGGCATGAAAATCAAAATAATCGTTGACTCTCTAATTAACTGTCTTTCTTTGAATTTTTATTTTATTTGATACCATTACAGGTCATCATAGGCCAATCTAATTCTAAAACGACAGAGTTTCAAGGAAAGCAACCACCTTGAGCTTTTAATTGAGAATTTAAAATATTTTAATGTAGAATCTGATGTTGGGCAGGGAGAGAGGGGTCAGATTTGTCAAAAAATGCTTAAAATATGAGATATAAAAATAAATACTGGATAAACATCTTACAACAAATGATGGTAAATCCACTCCCTTTTTAACTATCTCTTGCCATGACATTTCAATCACTCCATCCATCATCTCATACAAAGCTTGCCGTTTAAAAATATCTTCTTTATCAACAAGATCTGTTCCAGCCTTTCCAGTTGGTTTATCGTCATTCGGCTTTAGTTCACTTTGTTCTTCATCTGGTTTTTGGGTACCTAAATTTTCAAGCTCTTTCTTAAGTTGTTCTCTCTCGGTCAAAGGTTTATCATTTGAATGTTTTTTTAGTATTTGGTTTATCAGTTTACTGAACTGAAAATTAAATTGACATTTCAGAACATTAGAGAAAATTATTATTAATTTATAATATGATTGATGAATAATAAATAAATAAATGATGTTTACTAAAACTTCCTTATGAAATTTCCTGACTGTTTCAGGTTATACGTGCCTACTTGTACAGGGTACAAGCAAGTGCCTATCAAGCAGGCAAATCTTGTGAGACAACGTTGCATTATCTCTAGAATCGAGAAAGAGATTATGGCGGGTATCTTTGTTGATATTGAAAGTGCCTTTGATCGTACCCCATATGATACAATTACTAGAGCATTGGAAAGTAGAGGGGTCGGACAAGTGGCTTTGGAATGGATTAATTCGGTTCTGAGGGGAAGAGTCCTTAAATCTGAGTTGGGACTATCTTTACTGTGGTTTAAACCTGTTGGAGGGTATCCACAGGGCGGTGTGCTGTCTCTACTTTTATGGTATTTGGTGGTCGACTCTCTGATTGTTAAATTGCATACGGCGGGGTTTTATTCTCAGAGATACGCTGACGATATTCCGGTATTGATAGGGGGCAAGTTTCCAGATACTATCACTGAACTGCTCTAAAGCACTATGAGATTTCTGAAGAAATGGTGCCAGGAAAATGGCCTTGGCATAAACCTGCAGAAGATAAACCTCTGTACCTTCACTAATAGAAGAAATATTAACATTAGACCACCATCATTAAATGGGACAATACCAAATATATGTAGTGAAGTAAAACACCTTGGGATTACTATAGATAGTTAAACTGGCTAAACCATATTGAAAAGATTAGTGGTAAGGCTGTATGCTGTTTATGGGAGTGTAAAAGAGTCGTTGGCAAATCGTGGGGGCTGAAACCCAGCATGGCCTTATGGCTACACAGAACTACAATTAGACCCTTAATCCTCTATGCAATTGTGATATGGTGGCAGCTGCGTGCAGACCTAGAATGCTACTTGGCAAGCTTCAATGGCTTGCATGCCTTATGAATACGGAAGCTATGACATTACTCCCACTACTGCAATGGAGGCTCTTTTAAATCTGAAACCATTGCATTTGGATGTGGAAGCACATGCTCTCAGTACTGTCTATAGATTGGATAAACTGGGAACAAGATCGAAATTCCTGACGTTTCAGGGCCATGGGATCGTTTTTAATAGGATTGATAGCAATGAGGTGCTTGCGATGAACTCTGACCTTCAAGTTGATAATAATAAGGAAAAACTATATAATTTGAACATAAGCAGGAGTAACTCACATAGAGGATGGAGTTAACTGATGTAATGGAGTTAACTGTTATACCGATGGCTCCTCAATGGAGCAGGGATCAGGGGCTGGTATCTGGAGATAGGATAAACCTAATGAGGGAACATTCATATCTCTAGGTAGATATACGTCTGTCTTTCAAGCTGAGATTTTAGCCATCGATTTCTGTGCCCAATCACTTATTAAGGAGGGCATTGTGAATAGATTGATAACAATATATACGGATAGTCAAGTGGCAATTGGAGTCCTGAATAGATATGCAAGTCGCTCAAAGCTAGTGGACGAATGCAAAAGCAATCTTAACCTTCTTTGTAGTACTAAGAAGGTGAGAGTAGAATGGGTACCTGGGCACTCATGCATTCCGGAAAATGAGAAAGCCGATTACCTTGCTAGGAAAGGCTCTGCACAGGTGCCAGTTGCAGCAGGGCCTGCTTGTGGGATAAGCCTTGGCTTTGCCAAAAGACATATTAAGGCAGTCATGGGCAATAAATTTATGCTACACTGGGCACAGGCTAGGAAGCTGATTCATTCTAAATTATTCCTTGTAGGGCCCTGCCATAAAAGAAGTAATTCATTTCTTCTAATGGACAGGAGTACCATTAGGCGTGTGACAGGATTGTACACTGGTCACTATCAATTAAATAAGCACTTTTTCAATTTGAGTGTTTGCGAGACCTCCACCTGCAGGCTATGTGGCCTAGAGGATGAAACGGCCTATCACATTATTTGTAGATGTGATAATTTGGCTAGACTGTGATACTTTCACTTTGGATGTAATCGTATCACTGACCTTAAGCACTGTGAATTGAATGATCCTATGAGTATTAATAGGTTCGCAATGGCATATGGCCTGTTTTAATCGAGTTCAGGACAAAGCACAATAGGCCATTTTGAGGCCGTGGTGCAGCAGTCCTTATGTCGGAGTATAACAAAAAAAAAATAAATTAAAATGGTTATTCTTAATTAAATCATTAATTAAGAGGAAACTGATGGTCGAGTATGATCTTGGCCCAATCACCTCCCAGCACAACCGTTAGTCTTTTAACAGTACTTTCTCACATAGTACTGAAGCCAATAACCTTCATGGATTGTAGTGGTACAGGGTTTTCTTTTTTCTTCTCTGACTTTTCCAGGAATTATAGATATGTTAGACACTCTGAATACTAATGTTATATGAAAAAAATCTAGTGTGTGCAACACACAACTTTCACTTACCCCTCTACTTTGAATAGAAATTATGTTCTACCAATGTTGGGTTATTATAAAATTTTTGAAGTGCAATTTTAATGAATCTACAGCTTAAAGCTTACTGCTAACAAATCATTAAGACCATTAAAATAACAAAAATCCTATTAATTATATCAACAGAAGGCAATAAAAACCTCATTATTCCATCTGTTTTAGTCAACCAAACAACTCCAGCCTCTGAGTTATATATAAAGGGTGTCTCTTAAGTAGAGGGAAATTTTTATCAGAGTAATATCAGACCTCAAGGTCTACAAAAAAGATCATATAAGCAATGGGCCAATTCTCATCAGAAAAGTAGGAAATCCAAGTTTAATGTTTTTTTAAGTGAGTCAAACTTTTTGATGAATAGGAAGCGATCACTGAAGAACTATTTAATTTAAGTAATCAACAATTATTTCAATGTAAACTAGATAAAATTTTCTTAAAATTAAAATATAATTTGTCATTGTCAAAACAAATTAAAAAGAACTTTTGAGCGGCTAAACTTGGCCAAGTTCTGTTTTTTTTTATCATTATCCAACTATGCTACAGATACCCAACTTTTAGAAAACTTCTCCATTTAATAAGCTTCAAGTCCGTATTAATTAAATTGAGATTTATTAGGCACATACTTGAGATTCACCTCAACTCGTGTAAAGAAATTATATCAACTTCTATTCAGTCACCTAATAGTGGTCGTGTCTTCAGCAAATATGACTACAATTAACTGTTGCAAAGCATTTATCAGAACTATTCTTTCAATAAGAATAGTCAAGTAGGATTAAGATTGAGATCTTCAGTTTCTTTATTGAGGACCGGAAGTCTTAGGCAATCTTCTACAGGATAGATTGGCTGGAATTGGGATTGTAAAAAATTGAGGAGGTTTTACTAGAGTAAGTTGTTTGACTGAGAGCGGACTTATCTTTCCAGTGGCTCAGATAAATTGGAGATGAAATCAGAAGCATGAGAAGGATCTCAGTTCAAGAAGCAGTAGACACTTTCCCATGTTTTGAGAAAAATGGAACTTTGGAAAGAAAAATTATATATGTTTGAAAGTGCATGAGCGACAATTTTTGATAATTTTAACAGGAATTAAGTCAGAACCATAAGCAGTAGTTATGAATTTAAAGATAGAAGAGAGTAGGCCATTACGAGAAATAGTAAAAATATTGTTCCATTTGGTCATAAAAAACTAAGTAATCATAAAAAAAAGGATTAAAAATAAAATATTATAAAAATTTATTAATTAAAATGTAATATACCTCTTCTTCGGAAGGTTGGTACTCAAAGATCCATTCAGGGACTTCTCCCATGCTCCAATTATACTCTATTGCAAGAGGTGGAGGCGGTTCAACTAAAAATAAATGAGATAATAATAAACAAAACACATGAAATGATTAATTAATTACTACAAAACAAATAGGACTTATGTGATTTGATAATGCAATAACATTATCCTTTCCAATAAAGCTATCAAAAGTATTTTTTTTACTTTCCTATCTATACTAGGTAAGGAAAGTATTGCAATCGGGTCAAATTTCTGACATGTGGTTTTCGATGGATCTATACGTTTCAGAGTGCGAAAAACACATTTTTAGCCATTGGTCTGTCTGTCTGTGCCAAGATTTTCTCAGGAACTACTGGACCAATTTTTTGCTTCTTTTTTTATTTTGTAGGGTTTCATTTGAAAAGTAATGAAATTCCTTACAAAGCCATATAAAAATCGTTCATTTTGGACAACTATTAACGAAGTTACTATTTCCTATTTATTATTCAATTTCCAATGTGAGATTACAGTTTCATATCCTGGTGTCAGAAAGGAGTGAATGAGAGAATAAAGATGACTAAGTGAAAGTAAGAAAATCTGTTACCCGCATCACACAATCTTCACTATTTCCTCTAGTTTTAACAGAAATTACCTATCTTAAGCCGGTTTACATTGCTTTAGTTTATCAAATAAATCGTACTCAAATCTTATGTTTGATCAATTTTCAGGAAAATGTATCTAGTTCAATTCTTTTTTGTTTCTTCATGAACATATGTAAAGATATAAAAACTTTTCTGAAATAGGTAGGAAAGTCGTGTGAGTGGACACATCAGATATTTTTTTTAAAAATTACTACATTAAATTTTAAATGATTTAACTGAAACTAAATTACTGAATAAAGTATACTCAGCCACATCCAGATTTATGTGATTGGCAGTAGGTAATCCTGGATATGGGAAAAATCTGGACATGTGAGAGTAAATAGTAAACATACGAAAAAATCTGGTGTGCACAACACACAACTTTCACTTACCCCTCTACTTTAAATAGAAATTATTTTCTGGCAATGATGGGCTATTATAAATTTTTTTAAGTTTAATTTTTTAAACAGTGCTTAACCTTAAAGCTAACAGATCATTAAGACCATTAAAATAACAAGAACCCTATTTATTATATCAACAGTAGACAATAAAAACATCGTTAATCCATCTGTTTTTGTAAACCACAAACCTTTCAGTAGAAAGAATGATTAAATCCAAATTTCAACATTTTTGAATAATGTCATTTTAGTGATATTTCTAGTTGGAAAATTTATAATATCTGTACAGATAGTGAGTAAGTTGATTATGGAGTAGATGATTGCAGTGTTGAAATATAGAACTGTGAATAAAGGTATACATTTTTTCACTAGAAATATCACAGAAATTAATAATAAAAAATGTTGAAAGTGAAGTTAATAATTTTGCCAACAGAAAGGCTCACATATGTATAGAGAAATTTGAAAGTACATTTGTATATTTAACCTATAAATGATTATAGATTGTACGACTATAAGTTATGAAACTTATTTTTTATTGTAAAGTTTACTAAAATGAAACTACGAGATTTGTATTGCCTGTCGTAGATAGTTGATAAGTTGTCACACTAATTGTAACCGGATAATGTTGGGATTTCAGAAATTCATGAAATTATTCACTAATTTAATTTTTGAAAAGGTTACATGATTTGTGGAATAAACAGATGATAGATACTTGATTATTTAAATATAATATCAGATCTGGAGTTATTAAACAAATGCTTAATACATCCATGAAATATTTTTATATTTCACTTCTTCTTTCACACAAGAAGAATGAAATAGTATTTTAAACAATGCCATTGCCTTGATTTGGTGGGTTTTAAATACTTTTTTGCAAACTTAAAAAAAAAAAAACACTAAAAATTTTATAAATTAGATGGTAGCATTTACCTAGGCATATATTTTTCAGATCATCAATATTTTTCCGAATTTCACTTTGTTTCCTTTTTATCAATAAAAGGTCTTCAGCTTTTTTCAAAAATTTATCTTCAAATATATCATTATAATAACCTTCCAGACTCTCAATAATTCCCTTAAAAAATTATAGATAACTTCAACATGAGCTTATTTAATTATAATAAAATATAAATCATCCATTATAACTTCTCACCTTTAATGTTGAAACATGAGAGTCTGCCATAAAGATCCCATTGCAAGTGAATTCATTATATTTTGCAAAATCTACTTTTATAAACCTATACAATCAAACAACATTAAATTAACACTGATAAAAGTATATAAAAGGTAATAAATATAAATAAAATATGAGAACACAAGTTGTATTGTATAAAAAAAAAAAAAAATCTGGTCCCCACATCACACAACTTGAACTTAGCTACTTTGAACAGAAATCATGAGCCAGGTGAGAGAAAAAATTTCTCCCAAGAGATGCTTCTGATACTTTGATTAAGGTCACTTGGCAAAATATTGCAAGAATTATGACAGGACAAAACTGTTAGCAATGTGACAAAGTCAGTCATCCAGCAAGTGTGCACAACTTAATCACACTGCCTTCTATGCCCTGACAGAAACCCAAAAGACAGCTTTAGCTGTTCAGTCCACCAGCGATGGCAGGTTGAAGCATTTACTAAGCGCCAGAAATTAAGTTTTTACAGCTAGACCTTCATCATTCATTCATGTGTGGCACGACATCCCGTTACCGAGACTGGGCCTCCTCCAAGAGCCTCCGCCAGTTGGCTCTGTCTTCTGCTGCAGCTCTCCAATTCCGTACACCAAGCAGGGTTCTCGCATCATAGGCCACGTTGTCCAACCACCTTGTCCTCGGCCTTCCTACCCGTCTTGCGAGGTGCAGCTCCTCCATCATTATTTTCTTGGGTATCTCAACGGTGCTCATTCTGGCCACATGCCCTGCCCACCTTAGTCTGGCCAGTTTAATATAGGTGACTACGTCGATGTCTGCATAGAGAGAACTGAGCTCCCTATTTTTTCTTTTCCTCCAGACATCACCCTCCTTTACTGGACCATAAATCCTTCTGAGGACTCCTCGCTCAAACACACTCAGCTTCATCTCATCGTGTTTGGTCATCGTCCAAGCCTCTGAGCCATATGTCAAAACAGGCCGAACAAGAGTCTTGTATATGATCAGCTTGGTCTTCTTTGAGAGGTACCTACTTCTTAAGTGTCGGCCAAGTCCATAGACACATCTATTGGCAGCCGTGATCCTTCTTTGTATTTCTTGAGCCATGTCATTTTTGCTATTAATTTCAGACCCAAGGTATATAAAACTTTTCACTCTCTCAAACTTAAAAGAACCTACCTCAAATGGAGAGTTCAGATCCACCTCACCACCAACTCTCATATACTTAGTTTTCCTCTCGTTGACTTCTAGACCAAGTGGTCTTGCAGCTGCTTCAAGGCCTATAAACGCTTCTCTGAGAGCCTGTTCAGACCTACCTATTATGTCAATATCATCAGCAAAACCAAGAAGCTGTGTCAGGCGATTGAAGATTATATCGTTGGTCTGAATACCGGAGTCTCTTACAGCTTTCTCCTCTGCCAAGTTGAACAATAGACAGGCGAGGGCATCCCCTTGCCTAACCCCACTGCTCACTTTAAACTCTTCGGAGTCGTCAGAACCGACGCGTATTCTACATCTCGAGCTGTCCATGGTCATCTTGATTAGGCGTACGAGCTTCTGAGGGATGCTTAGCTCCTCCAAGGCACAGTATAGTTGCGTTCTATCAACGCTGTCGTATGCTGCTTTAAAGTCTAGGAATAAATGGTGGGTGACTACCTTATGCTCCATAGTCTTTTCTAGGATCATCCTCAGAGAGAACAGTTGATCAGTGGTTGAGCGTCCTCTTCGAAATCCAGCCTGATACTTCCCCAGTTCCTTTTCAGAATACGGGAGAATCCTCTCAAAAAGAATGTTAGAGAGCAGTTTATAAGCACACGAAAGGAGTGAGATTCCTCGATAGTTAGCGCATTCTGTTTGATCTCCTTTCTTATGTATTGGGCAGATAATGGCTGTTGCCCATTCCGTAGGCATAGCTTCCCTCTCCCAGATGGTCAGCATTAAATCATGCAGAGCTTTCTTAAGTTCTTCACCTCCACATTTCAACAGCTCTGACTGGATTCCGTCCGGGCCTGGCGCCTTTCCATTTTTCAATTTCATCAGGGCATTTTCCATTTCCTCCTCATCCGGGGGTTCAATAGAATTCAGGGAGTCTTCCTTCATTACTCCTACTTCTCCAGGCACCGTTCCTCTGTTTAATGCGTCTTTAAAATGTTGTACCCATCTCCTTAGTACGTCATCTTTGTGGCTTAAAAGAGATCCATTCGTGTCTTTGCATGCCGTCACTCTGGGCCTGAAAGCTGCCCTACCCTCGTTTATTCTCTGAAAAAACAGCCGACTTTCATTTTGGCCGCGCAATGCCTCTATATCCTCCATGTTCTTGTTTTCCCAAGCTCTTCTCTTTCCGCGGAATAATCTCTTCTCTTCGCGTCTTTTTCTTCGATATGTTTCTTGGGAGAGCCTTGTGGGACGCTGAACCTTCTTTCTGTAGGCTTCATTTTTCACTTTTACTGCTTGAAGGCACTCAGCATCAAACCATGGAGGCCTTCTAGATTTAGTCTCGTAGCCAAGAGATTCTTCTGCTGCCTGTTTCATTGCGTTGCTGCATCTCTTCCACTGTTCATCGACCATAGAGCTGTCATTAATTACATCTTCATTAAGTTTCGTCTCCACAGCTTGTTGATACGAATATTGGTGGTCTGAGTCCTTAAGTTTAGCTACATCAATCTTCTTCTTTGGTCGTTGGTGGTGGTTTTTAATCAGCGAAATTCGTGATCTGACCTCGGCAATGCTCAAATAGTGATCCGTGTCCATATTTGCACCTCTATAAGATCTTGCATTTATCATGTTGGACTTGTGACGGGCACTAATGAGTACATGGTCTATCTGTGATGTTGTTTGCCCATTTGGAGAGATCCATGTTGCTTTGTGGATATTCTTTCGAGGAAAAAGAGTTGTTCCAACAACCAGTCCGTGCAATGTAGCAAAGTTCACCATCCGTAGCCCATTATCATTACTGGTCTTATGCAAGCTGTGGGTTCCTATGGTCGGCATGAGTGCCACCTCCTTACCAACTTGGGCGTTAAAGTCACCAAGAATGATTTTAACATCATTTTTGGGGCAGCTTTCTGTCACGCGTCCAAGTTCTTCATAAAATGTTTCCTTATCCTCCTCAGGTGACACCTCTGTTGGGGCATGGCAGTTAATTAGAGAGAAATTAAAAAATTTTCCTCTAAGCCGAATGTAGCATAACCTTTGGTTAATGGGAGTAAATCGCATCACCAGCTGTCGAGCTCTGCCTCTCACAACAAATCCGGTACCGAAGACGTGATGCTTTTCATGGCAGCTATAGTAGAGTGTATGGTACTTCTTCTCCATAATTCCCTGTCCTATCCATCGGACCTCTTGGATAGCTGCTATGTCGATTCTATATGTGTCCACTTCTGCAAGGAGCGCACGAAGTGCTCCTAGTCTATGTAATGATAAAATGTTCCAAAATCCAATTCTTAGGTCATTTAGGCGTTTCCTGGGTCTGTTACCGTAATTCAGTCCGGCTTCTTCTCTTTGAGATTTTGTAATAAGGTACTTTAGGGGGGGTGGGTTATCAGCCCACTGCCCCCGAGTCAGGTAGAGGGGCTGCCTCCTCCGAGCATCCTGACTAGCTCCCCCATCCGGGACGGCTACCTAGGGAAGGTGACCCTAGGGTGTGTACTGTAGGTGACCTTTGTCTGTAGTGTTTAGGTGTTGTAGTGTGCTGTATAAAGTGTACTTGGTGTGTGTGTTCGTGTAAGTGTTCCCCCAACCTGGAGGGCCAGTGGCTGGTTGCGGTACAATGACCGGGCGATGGGACCGCCACCTCCCTACGCTAGACCTTACCCACTGCAAACTTTCCCAGGACCTCTGATGGCAAACTATTGCCAATGAGAAAAACATTGACGATGCTGTACCAATGGGACAATATAGAAACGTTAATGGATCCTGATGATGAAGGATCTTAGTGGTCGAGCAGGTATTTGAGTCAGAAAGTACTACTTGATACAGAAAGTCCAATTGATTCCGAAAAAAGGATTTGTAAGGGCCAGGGTGAGGGAAATTTACATCTATAGTGGTTGCTATAGGGACCCTGCTTCAAACTAGAGGATAGAGTATCGTGCTCAACTTGTGATCCCATGGATGAAACAGTAGAACAATCGTTCTTCTGTTGTTCAGGTTTTACTCAAGAAAAGGAAGAGCTAGACATGAAATTTGGAAATAAATCAATCCCAGAAAACTCAAGCTGCTTTGATGATGACTAGGCAGAAGAATCGGAGTGTTCTAGCAGACTATACAGCACAAATCGACAGAAAGCTCAGAGAACAGGAGCGAGAAAGAAGAGATCAAGCAATGGCTTGGCTTAAATAAGAGGTCCAAAGAAGAAGAAGGTAGATAGCCCTTCTGCCTCTGTGAAGTAATACTTAACAGCAGTACCCCGGGATGGTAAAGAATTGGGAGGTGTTTTTTTAGTAAGAAAGAATCTTACACTGTTGTGTAATTTTTGTTTGTTGCACATCTCCTTACGGAAGATTTTTCCCCTACCGACAAAAAAAAAAAACCACACAGATCATTCTGTGTAACTGGGTTATTTGGACTTAGGAGACGGATCTCAAAACATATATTTCTGTTGAAAACTCAAAATTGAAAATTTTCACGATCGCTATACTTTAACTTACTATATATTATATAATTGTGGGTAAATGGTTGATTGTCGTGAATAATGAAGAGAAGAATAGTTGGGGTGATCAGTCAAATAAGATGACAAAAATAAATGATAATATTTATTTTGACATTTGCCGACGTTTCGACCTGAAGTTCAGGCCTTCATCAGGGCTAAGAAAAGAACCAGATAACGAGGTAGAAACATAAGTAGTGTAGGTAAAACAAATTAAAGTAAAATGAAGTTGTTAGAATAATGACAATAGTAAGAACTAAGAGATAAATAATAATAACCGTTACAAAGTGTGGAATGATGAAGTAAACATAATCACCTTTTTGATTATGTTTACTTCATTCCACACTTTGTAACGGTTATTATTATTTATCTCTTAGTTCTTACTATTGTCATTATTCTAACAACTTCATTTTACTTTAATTTGTTTTACCTACACTACTTATGTTTCTCATACCTTGTTATCTGGTTCTTTTCTTAGCCCTGATGAAGGCCTGAACTTCAGATCGAAACGTCGGCAAATGTCAAAATAAATATTATCATTTATTTTTGCCTTCTTATTTGACTGATCACCCCAACTATTCTTCTTTTCATTATATTTTATATAGCATTTCCAAGTCAATTTCAATCTTTTCCAAATAAATTCAACCTTTTCCAAGTCAAATTAAACCTTTTTTTATTTCAAATTCAACCTTTTCCATTTCAAATTCAACTTTAGAAATATTTTAATTTTCAATTTTTTTTTAAATATAAAGGCCACTTACTATATTATCGAAGGCATAGCTTTAGAAAAATAGAAAAAAAATATATAACACGGTTGCATTTCCGTTTACTTTTACTTTTGAGATTTTTTCGGTATAATATTTCCAGATCATATTCAATTTTTTCCAAATCCGGCTGATGTCCAGTAATTTTTTTATCAGCCATGGATCAACCCTAGGGCCAGGAGACCCTCCTGCGGCATACCCAGCACAACCATTGGCCTAGTAACAGTACTTCCTCATATTGTATTGAACTTAAGACCCTCCATGGGTTATTAGTGGTACAGGTATAGATACAAATTTTGTTGATTTGTGACTTGAGAATGAGTAAATTAGCTCGAAACGTTAGTGAATGTTGAATCTATAAGGGCTGATATATTCCTTGAAGACACCACATATAACAACATTGAGCGTCCTTTAGAAAATGCTACTGTAGTAGTTAAATTTATATTTATGCTATTTATTTTTCGACTGTAATGAAAATGTCCTCAATATTTGAATATATTTAATAGTTTTAGTATCTATGAATCTCATAGTTTTAGTATCTACGAATCTCATAAGTGCTATATTAACAGAAGGAAATTGAAAGGCAGATTAATAGAAGAGAAAATGTTGAGCAAAAAATTTTCATTTTTCAATTGTAAAGAAAATTCTTATTTAGGGGTTTTTAGAGGTGCGAAAAAAGAATATTATCTTTGTTTATCTCAAAAATATATATTTAATGGTATAATATGTTCAATACCTTTTCCAAGTCAAATTCAACCTTTTTCAAGTCAGATTCAATCTTTTCCAAATCAAATTAAACTTTTTCCAAGTAAAATTTAGACGTTCATAATTGGAAATAGCCCTTATTTCGAAAAAAAATTACAAAATATCTAAACTTTTCATTACAATCGAAAAACAAATAGCATAAATATAAATTTAACTACTAAAGAAGCATTTTTTAAAGGACGCTCAATGTTCTTATAGACAGTGTCTTCAAGGAATACATCAGCCCTTATAGATTCAACATTCAATAACGTTTCGAGCTAGTTTGCTCATTCTCAAGTCATCAAAAATTCAAACCAAAAATTTATATCTTTACCTGTACCACTAACAACCCATGGAGGGTCTTAGGTTCAATACAATGTGAGGAAGTACTGTTACTAGGCCAATGGTTGTGCTGGGTATGCCGCAGGAGGGTCTCCTGGCCATAGGGTCGATCCACGGCTGATGAAAAATTACTAGTCACGAGCCGGATTTGAACCTGGGAACTTCAGCTCTGGAAGTCAGTGCGCAACCACCCCGCTCCTATGCTTTTGTATTTCTATATAAAAACAATATATTTATATATATGATAATTTCATTAATTATTTAATTTCGGTACACCAAATAAAAAAAACAAAATTATTCCTCGTCTCATTTTATGCGCATTTACTCTAATGCTTGTCTATTCCCAAAACTCAGTACTATATCCACCTTCTATTGTCAATTCAATGTCAACTTAATATGGATCAATTAACAATTAATATTGAATCTAACTAATCATCAAGGTATTCGATACAAACATTAAACTATTTCTCAAATCCATAATTTGATAATTAATTATAAATAAGAGTCCAAATGATATTACAGTTGATTGTAAACTCGTGTAATTTATAGTCCCCAGTATTTTCTTAAAATGGCTTATACATTATACTCAATCCCTGGTGATAATTGCATGGTTGAATGAAAGTCAATCTAATAATAATTTCTGATACTGTAATCTAAACCCAAAACGCTGTATACATTGTATATTTACATGACCACCTTTCAATGAGCATATCATTTTTTTTTTTTTTTTTTTATAACGACACAATCTCAATAACCTTCACTGTAACTTGCAGGTTTTAACTTATAGCTTTTTACAAAAGGCCGCAGAGAAGAAATAAAACATCGTATATTTTGTTTTGTGAGATCAGGACAAGGTTGAACAGAAAAGCTCGAATTCCCATTTTCCAAAAAAATTGTCTATACAGGGTTATGCAGTGTGGCTGTCGATATATTCTTCATTACTTGAATTCTATAGCAACTTAAATTCACGAAATTTTTTTTCCACGCAAGACTCAATTTTCAAAAATTACAAAAAATAAAACAATTTAATTTGAACATTATGCATTTCATACTTTGGAGTCTGAGATCCTGTCATATAATATGGCTCATCAAATGGATCTTGAAGCAGTAATTCAGAGACCTCCTCTTCTTGGACTGCTTCTTCGGCATGCATAGCTGCAGGGCGTTGGGGAACAGGTGCAGCATCAATATGCTCTTCTTCTACAACTAATTTCTCTGACTTTTCTTCTTTTTTAGGTTCTTCTTCAGCAATTTCATTAAAAGCTATGTCACTCCAACTAAATGATGATTCTGAAAGAGGGGCTTCAATAGCCAACAGTGTTTATATTAAAATAAATATAATAATAATAATAATAATTAAATACAAACTACGTTAATTATTCTGTAAAACCGATGTGAAAGGGATTGCAGTAAACTGTAGTTATCCTATAATTTAGCGAAGTAAGTAGTACAGTAGTACAATGGATCATAATTGTAAAAAAATTATAGAACATTAAGAATGTTGAACAAATTCCATAAAAGTAGAAAATAAAGATGTATAACGTAATCAAGGTGTCTACTAATTTTGGTAACTGAAATTCTCAACTTTTTTAATAATTTACACATACCTGATGATGTAAATTTATAAAATATATATTTTATTTGTTATTTCAAGTTTAAAGTCTGGTACACACTAGTAGACCATGTTGAGTGATTTGTCTATAGACCGTCTACAGGCAGTCTCGAGACACAGTCTATAAACTGTCTAGAGACAACGTTCTTTGTCTCGTCTAGCGTCCCCACTACAATGTCAATTTCTCATTCTCATCTTAGCAGTTCACCATATGGGACATTGTTTTGTGTGGAATGAATTGCTACTTAGTGCTCATTACAAGTTAAAGAGTGCAAAAACCACTCATCAGAGTATATTTTTCCACTCCTGGTTGAGTGAAGTTTTTACATTATAGAATTTGATTTCTATCCCCGCCAATGTCCCATTGTGCTTTGCAGATTCCAGATTCCAGGGCTACTATTCTTTATTCCCAGTTTTTGTAGTGGAGACTCGTAATATTCCACAAACCAAAACCAGTTAGTTTTAAAACTTTCTCGATAGACCACATATATTATAGGCTTTTAACTCTGGTATAAATTCTCCGCCCTCACCCTCTGGCCCAGGAAATTTTTGTCATAATATAGATGAAAACATCTCAATAATATCAACATTTCAAGTTGATATGTTGATGGTATCGGCATTGCTAGTTATAGGCTAATATTTCTATCAATGATAATATATGCCTGATTATATAGCTTTCGATATCCCACCTTTAGGACGCGTCTCTAGACTTCCACAATGTCTAAACGTTGCATAATGTCTGCCATTCCGATCGGGAGACTTAAGACCTGCAATTTTGGGTCTTACAACAGGCCTGTAAAAGGGGATTCGTCTATAGACATGTCTACGTAGACAAACAGAGTCGTGTCTATAGAGACAAACTATAGACATGTCTCAGAGACCAAAATCGTGCAACATGTCTACTAGAGTGGATTAGGTTTAAGAATAATTACTGACCATATTTTGTAATTAAATTGACATCATTAATTCTATGTTTATATTTTAGGTGATATTATATTTTACTCTATAAAGAAAGGCTGTATTTTTTACCACATTTCTTTTTATTTCTTCTCCACAGTGGCTATGTTTCGGCTATGATGCCATTTTTAAGCCATTTATTGTTAGTTAATACTGCTCTTTCTGTTCAGTCCATAATTGAATTATGGACTTAACTTTTTTATTATAGATGTACTATACAATCTCACTCCGCTTAACTAGAGAGATATGTCTCAATTGGGTCTCAATGTTACTGGTTACATATGATATATGTAACTGACAAATTATGTGCTTGTATAAATTTCTCTATAAGTTTCATTTATTAAATACTGAATTTGATTTTAATCTTCAAAGAATAAAATCTTGTAAATGATTATAAACTTCATAGTTTTTGCATAAAATATTTATTTCTAAAATGTATATTATAAATATATGGGATGGAATGACCGATACGCTGAGGAACTTGCAATAGGTAATCAAAGTTAAGCAATGTCAAGCATGGTAAGTACTTAGATAAGTGATAAGTGACCTGTGTACTTCAATCAGGAATCGTGATCTGGTTTTTCAGAATGTCAGTATCTCCCAGAGATAGAAATATAGATCCTTGTCTACCTGCTAACTCTATAACTCTAACAGCCACAATCCATGGATCCAGAACAATTTGTCACTGGCCTTGAACATGAGTGAGTTAGTAGGAAAGGTACTGCCAAATTGGCCCCAATGAGGTCAGCTATGGAGGTATGAGTGTCCTACCATTGCACCATGGAGACCACCTTCCATAATGACATAAGGGTGGGTTACCCCTCCAGTTTATCTGAGCTTCCGCAAGCAATATGCATCAATGAGACGACCACATCATGTGGCCAAAGATCAACATGGTTTATAGTGCCAATTGAAAAAATATGTATAAATATATTGTAGTTTTATTGCGAAAGTCACTAAATGCATATTTAATACAGGCTAATTTTCAAATATGTTTTTGTGAATTTCAACTTTATTTTTCGATACAAACACAACGTAATTTCATGAAAACAACACACACCTTTTTATACATATATCAAATATAGTTACAACATGCGCACAATTTTCTTATTTCACAAAGGGAAAATTCTTCAAAGTTCTTAATTATTTAAGGTTATAAAATGTCACTTAATGACTTTTTTCAATAAAATTAAAATAAACACACATATATATATTTTTTTTTATTCCGTGGAATTTCATAAAAGCAGGATTATCAATATGGCAAAAAGACCTACCAGAAATATGGAAACGGCAAGAAATAATCTCCATCCATATAAAAGGAGATCAGGCTGACTATAACAATTATAGAGGTATCACACTATTACCATGCCTCTACTAAGTCCTATCCACAAGTGGATACAGCCGGGGGGCGCACGCCCCCTCCCCCTGGAAGCTGGAAAAAATTCCAAAAGCAGCTATTCAAAGAAAAGAGAAATATAGGGAAAATTCATTCTCAATGACGATGAATTTCCTAATGTAATATAAAAAAAAAATGATCGTGACCAGCACTAGCGAATTCTGCCAGGTGGCCCTCCCTTATATGGTGGAAAAAAATCCTGAAAAAAGTGACGAAAAAGACTTATTTAAAAAAAAAGAGAAACCAGGACTAGCGAATTCTGCAAGGGGGGGTGATCCTTCCCCTGGATGGTGGATAAAATAGTCCCAAAAAGCAGCTGTTTAAAGAAAAGAGTGATGCAGTTTTCGGACCAACGATAGATGTGAGGCTTGTGCTCCTGTCGCAGTTTGTTCCTATTGACTCCGAACTGAGTCTCATAGGTGAATACATGATGGAGGAAAATTTGTTAAAACAAAATGAACTTCATTTATTCTTTCGAATAACTTTTTATTTCAGCACAAAAAAATACGGGTTTTCTCCCGGACCCAGTTTTTATTCAGTTCCAATAAATCTGGACGCATTGCAACCTCCAGCAACTATAGTCTCCTTGAAGAATCCATGCGATTCATAAAACAGGTCACGATAATAATTTGTATATTTTTCATTAGAAAGTGTTGTTCTTTTCTTAAAATAGCTGCTGTTGGGAATGTTTTCATGAGGGAAGGTGCTAATTACTTGGTCACCGATTTGATAGGAATCAGAAATTATTCTGAGTTTTTTTTCTTAGAGAACTCATTTCCAAGCTGCAGGACCTAACCTTTCTCAGATTTTTAAAATGTCGGTACAAATTAGCACAGTCAATGAACACTGTGGTTATCGACCATATCATTTAATCAAATTATTAAGTTTAGGTACTTGTTCGAGGCACAATTTGACATTCTTTAATTTCTTAAAGAATCCTTTTTTGCTTTGATGCACTGTTTAGCAGTAATACATGAAAAAAAAAAGATCAGATAAATCTGGATTTTTTAGCTGTAAAAAAATTTCTCTTGATGACTCATGTAAGCAATTTAGTTTTATACATCTCTAAACCCAGATGCAAGGTGTCTCATAAGTAGAGGGAAATATTTCAAGGAGTGATAGCAGAACTCAATAAATAGAAAAAGTTTATGTAAACAATGGTTCGATTTTCAGTAGGAAAGTAGGGAATTAAACTTTTGTGATTTGGTATGTAAATCACGGTTTTTCATAAATATGAAATGATAACAAAAAAAACTATTAAATTTAAGTAATTAACGATTACTTCACTGTTAACTAGACAAAATTTACTTTAAATAAAAATAGAGTTTGGTTTGTTAAAACCATTTAAAAAGGATTTTTGAGCAGCTAAACTCAGCTAAGGAGTGAGTTGAGACCTGTTACAGAGGTGCGCTCCCCCTGAGAAAATTTCTGGACCCACCACTGGTCCTATCCAATATCATTTTTGGCAGACTTGTAACTCATTCAGAAAGAGTTCTCATAAAATACCAAGCTGGCTTCAGAATGAGGTGATCCACCACCGACCAGATCTCCTATATTAGGATGACTCTTGAGAAGGCACGAGAGTATCAAATCTTTTTTGGGGGGAGGGGGAGGGGTCCTCCTCCCTTCCTTGCCGTTAAAGGCTATAAAGGGTTTTCCCGGGCCAGGGGGTGTGGGCGTAGATTCCCGGCACCGGGATGCGAACTTGTGACTATTTTTATATCATTGAGTCATATATCAGGTTGCCGGCCGGGCAACGGTGGTGCTGTGCACACGTGTTAGCCCATTCGTGACACCCCACCCACAACATGCCATTTATTTAATGATTGGAAGTCAGCTTATGACATTGTTGACTGACGAGAGTTAAATTAGTATGATCTCAATGTTCTCTCCAAACTAATAATGAAGACAAAAGAGACAAAATGCATAAACAGATTGGATCAGACATGTTTAAGGAATTTCATTTCAGTGCAGGAGATAGACAAGTCGTGACTCTGTCTGCTTTATAATCGAGCTGAATAAAGAGCAGTGAGCGAATCTGGAACACAAACGACGGGCGAAACTTTTACTAGAACCGTGCAGATATTGGGATATGCCAATGACTTCGACATTGTTTCCAGGTCTCAAACTTTCCTGAAGGAAGCATTTCTTAAACTAGAAAAGGCAGCTAAGAATTTTAGATTAGCTGTCAACAAAATAAAAATAAATACATACCAGCGGGACCAGAGCGTTTTCAGAAAGGGCATATTGAGATTGGGACATATGAGTTTGAGAGGGTGCAGGGTGCACTTTGTGTACTTGGGGTGTGAGATGAATTCAGATGGTGATGTATCTCAAGATACTACAAGTAAGCAATAAACAGGTGCTATTTTGGCCTCACCAAGTTATTTTAAAGTAAGTATATAACTAATGAGACCAAAAGTGAGGCTTTACAAAGTCCTTGTTCTCTCAGTCCTCGTGTATGGATTTGAAGCTTGGGCATAGAATAAGGACAATGAAGATAGACTATTGATTTTTAAAGGATGATACCCAGAAGAATTTTCGGTCCAATAAGGGACAGTAATGCCAGGAGAAGAAAAGTGCAGATGTTGCTAAATGGATCAGTGTGAGGAGGCTCGGATATGGTGAGACACCTCGCAAGGATGGATGAGAATGAAATCCCAAAAAAATTAGCCATGGAAACTTTATTCTATCTAGCTAGAAGAATGGGATGACTCAAAGCAAGATCGCTGCATAGTGTCCATGCAGATGCCATGAATATCCTTGGAATAATGGACTGGATGAATGAATACAAAATAATGAACAATGAATACAGTACCGTACATGTATATGTATATAAATACATATACATAATATGTATATAAATACATATGCATATATGTATATATGTTGTAATGTCAACATTACATGGTATATAAATAGTGGCGCGAAAGTGGTAAGAACATGAACTACAGGGAAGAAGTGGGGGAAGCAAGCTCATGGAGAGACTGCGACGAGCCACCGGAAGAGACTGCGACGAGCCACCAGAAGGGACTACGACGGGCCGCCAAGAGGGAAGGTGCTAGCGGCCAAGAGAGAAGATGTGACAAGCTGTCAAGAGAGAAGGTACTAGCCAGCAACTTAAGAAAATAGAAACAGCCACAAAGTTTAGACTGGGACAATAAAGGTTTTTGAATTTATAATTTCTTAATGTATGTATCTCGTTTCTTTATAAGTATTTAGTAATTAGTGTACATTGTATTTATTAAATGTTGAATGAGTGTTCAGTTGTCAGAACCCAACCTGAGAATTGATGTTATGTGTTAAAATAAATAATATATTGAAAAAGGAAACTCGTTTGTTTTGATTTATGTTGACGAAGGGAACGTTACAACATGGCGCCCAACGAGCGTGGCTTTTGAGTACGTTACAATATGGCGTCCAACTAGCGTAGCTTTTAAAAACGTACATAGTCACGACAACTGAACACGCAATCTTTGTTAATTTTAATTTTATTTTTTTGTTAATAATTTTTTAGTTATATGGAGAATAAGCAGAGAGAGAAGTTAGAAATCTTATTAATATAATTCTTAGAAAATCTAATGGGAATGTTGTTAGTGTAGAAAATAAGGAAGAGTCAGTTGTACAAAGCCTACTTGATGAAAATAGACAGTGTGAAAACGGAAGTGAAAGTCTGTTGGGATTAAATGAAATAAATTAGTTTAGTGAAAATAATATGGAGGGTGAAAAAATAGATATAAGTAGTAGCAACAATTTCAGTTGTGCTGATGTGTGTGGTATGCTTCAACAAATAATGACTGTTCTTCATGAGATTGAAAACAAGCAAACCCAAATGATTGCAAATATGACTGGAGTCCAAGAAACTACACTGGATGAAAAAAGTTCTAATAATGAACAGGAAATTTTGAAACAAGATTGTGATAACCTAGAAACCCAAATTATTACAAATATAACTGAAGTTCAAGAAACTAAACTGGCTGAGAAAACTACTTTTGGTCACTCAGAAAGTGATGAGAAGCAAATTGTTACTGAAGAGCTTAGCAAAATTAATTCTTTACTTGATATTGGATCAGAAAATCTCTTAGGAAAAGATGAAGAAACCCTTAAAGAAAAATTAGTGACGACAGAATTTCTAGTAGAAACTCATACAGTTAATCTTATAGATTTTAAGAAAGAACTTCTCAAGTTTCAAATTGAGTTCATAGGAGTAAAATCCAGCAGAGAAAAGCATGGTAATTATTTTATTTCAGAAGTTCCTTTAATTCCAGAAAAGTTAACTCTACAATTTAAAGATGAGTTAAGAAAGTTAGATGACTGGAGTAAGAAAAGAACAGGATTATATGAAGTGTCGTTCCGTGGACTCACTAAGTATAATTTTGAGTATAATGGATTACCAGTCGTCCTACTTATTCTAGAATATGAGTCTTATGGGGGTTATATGATTCTGGATCATGTTAGGGCAGGTCGCTCATTATGTTATAGTGAGACACGGTAGTCTTTATCCTATCCAGAGGATAAAAAAGGGTTTTAAATTAGCGTCCCTTCCATTGACGAGCTAGAGGGTCCTGGCGAAACCATCGTCAGGTTACCCATTCTGGATACTTGTAAATAATTAACTTGTAAATATATTGTAAATAGTCTAATTACATTGTTGGTAGATAGGATAATAGATTAATATCTAAAAGTTAAATAAGTTGTTTTGGCCGGATATTGCTAGGTAAAATCCATATTTTAGAAGAAAGTTAAAAATTGTCTTAATTAATTAGTGTCTTCTCTCTGATTATTCCTGTAATACAAGTTAAAATATATTTTTGAATGTTATATGTAATTTAAACAGTTAATTTGTAAGTTAACTATACATAAGATATGGGAATTGTACGGTAAAATTCTTTTGGTAAATAATGTATTCAGCTTATTTTATTATTTGTATATCAATCTACTTTTCCTGTACATAAATTAAATGAACAAGTTATGTAATTACTGTATGTAGATAGGTAATATAGTGTAAATAATTCAATAATTTTGTATATAAAATTGTAAATGTTTGATAACCAGGTTGGGAAATCTATTGTAAAAAGTGTGAATGTCAAAAGTTAAATTTATTATTTTATATGAAAAAAATAAAAAATGTAAATATTGCACCGAATTTTAAATTTCCATTTTATTTTTTTTTAAACTGGAACGGAGGAGAAATGTAATGTCAACATTACATGGTATATAAATAGTGGCACGAAAGTGGCAAGAACATGAACTACAGGGAAGAAGTGGGGGAAGCAAGCTCATGGAGAGACTGCGACGAGCCACCGGAAGAGACTGCGACGAGCCACCAGAAGGGACTACGACGGGCCGCCAAGAGGGAAGGTGCTAGCGGCCAAGAGAGAAGATGTGACAAGCTGTCAAGAGAGAAGGTACTAGCCAGCAACTTGAGAAAATAGAAACAGCCACAAAGTTTAGACTGGGACAATAAAGGTTTTTGAATTTATAATTTCTTAATGTATGTATCTCGTTTCTTTATAAGTATTTAGTAATTAGTGTACATTGTATTTATTAAATGTTGAATGAGTGTTCAGTTGTCAGAACCCAACCTGAGAATTGATGTTATGTGTTAAAATAAATAATATATTGAAAAAGGAAACTCGTTTGTTTTGATTTATGTTGACGAAGGGAACGTTACAATGTATTTCTTTTCCATATACAAATAAAAAAGTACCATCATCCTGCAATGATTTTAAGAATAAATTCCCTTCAAGTTCCTGCAGGTCATCATGTTCTTCCCCAACAGCAGCTGCTTCTTCTTCTTCTTCTTCATCTTCTTCTAATGTTTTAACAATTTCCTTTTGCTCCTCTTCAACTGAGTATTCTTTTTCTTCTTCAATAACCTCCTCATCTTCTATTGAATTTTCTTCCCCATCTTCCTAAAAAATTCATATGATTATTAGTCTTGTACAATAATAAATAATTTTTTTTTATTTTTACAAAACATTTTCTAAAAATTAGACGCGAGTAATACTATATTACAACTGGGTACTCATACAGAAAAAAAAAATCTGGTGCGGTGCGCGCATCACACAAATTTCACTTACCACCCTCTTTGGCAGAAATAAGTATATTCAGACAAAGGAGAAGTGGAAGTAAAAATTATAGATGCTATAATTATTTATATTTCATTGTGGGTATTTTTATTTGTATAAGTGCCCTTATATATAAAAATTTTAATATTTATATCTGTGTAATCTATACAATTAAATATTAAATAATACCAACAATTGCATTTATGAAAACCGCGCATTTATATTTATATAATATAGTCGGAATCCTTATTATATTAAGCTCATGTTAAGTATGGAAGCCTGTTATAATCTTTCGGGTCAATTACAACTATTCTCCCCTACGATTTTTTATTTCTCCTTTAGTTAATTATCAAATTCTTTCATATTTTATATTTAACTATCTTTTATATTAGAAATTAATGTGAAATAGTCAATTGTTTCAAATAAAAAAAATTGAAAGTACTTTAGAAGAAGCTAATATTGAAAATTAGCTATTTAAGCTCTGTTAGAGAACATTAATCAGAATAAAAACTACATTTTATTTAAAACTGCTTAATTTTACACTGATATAATGAATTTAATCAAAATCGTTAGAGGCGTTGCCGAGAAAATTGTAAAAATGTGTTTAGCCCATGATATAAAGTGCCACTTCCGGTCAGTGGATTTTGACGAAAAAGTTACCGTAACATCCATAGTATATAAAAACATTAAATATGTAATTTCACTTTCATGCGACTTTTCGTTTTTGAGATAATGTTAACACACACAGACCATTTTGCAGGACTTGGTTATTAGGACTCAGGGGACCTCAAAATGTGTATTTCCGTTGAAAACTGAGATTCAAAAATTTTCATGATCGCAATACTTTCCTTTACTATATATTTCATATATAGGTAAGTGAAAGTAAAATTCATAAAATTGATCTGTAATAGAATTCAAGGGAGGAACACATATATTGAGACCTTGAATAAGTCTCACTGTTTCTTAACAGATGGTAGCACCAGTATCATGGCATTTCATTTCAGATAACACAATTTACCAAGAACTAACTAGTATTGGTAAGCTTGGACTTCAGTGCATGTTAGTTCTCTATAGTGTGAACAAAATTTATTTTCAAAGTTCTAAAAATATCAAGTTCTGTGCCAAGTAAAGAGTATTTGCAGAGAAATTTATTATACTATTTTATTCAAACATCTACCAACCTGCTACATCGTCTCCCACTAAGTGACTTAATTACCAGTTAATTAGTGAACTTTAGTGCAATAAAACAGTGACAATTCAACATTTATCAATTGAGTATTCAACTCAACATTTTTTTTTTTTTTTTTTGTTCTTCCCTACCTCGCCTTTTAGACTATACGGGATTTTCCCGGGCCGGAGGGTGAGGGCGGGGAATTTAAAATCCCCTCCGGCACCAGGACGCGAACTCGTACTTTTTATATCATCTCAAATCTCTGTTATCCGGTTGCCAGGCAACTAGCGGTGCTGTGCACACGCTTCAGCCTATTCGGCCACCCCGCCCCCTATATTCAACTCAACATAAACAAAGTGAGTAAACAACTTGTTTATTAACATTAGGACTACAGTGTTAACAACGATAGTTTTATAGGTAGAGGCTATCATTGCCCCCCACTACCTTTAGTTGCCTCCGTGGCTACTAAGGGGGAACACGTATACTTAGGAGGCCTCTACAAGTCTACGTAATTAGTTACGTACTAAAAACTTTTATTTATTTATTTTTTTTTTCCTCCTCTCTTTTATTTACCACCCTACCGTCATGAGATGCGATATTACCATATGATAATGTCTAGCAAAAACAAAAGATCTAGGAGTTTAGGGAATAACAACCCTCGAAGTTCACCGGTAAAACAGAAGCCTAGACCTTCTAATAGAAAAACGCCACCTTCAACACCTGATAACCCTAGTGATAGCATGAATGACCCTCAACCTAGTACTTCAACGAAAAATATGACTGCACAAAATATAAACAACGAAACAGATGAATCTCCATTTTTTACTCCTAACCCATATCAATTACTGTCATTAGAAGAAACAATGGAAATACCACCAACCCCCAGAGAACCAAAACCACCTCCTATATTCATCAGAAATATAAAAAATTTCCCGCTATTTTGCCAGCATCTAAATAAAATACTGGACAACGGCAAATACATTTGCCAAACTCGAATCAATGACACGAAGTTGATGCCAGATTCCCCCGAAACTTACAAAAAAATTGTCAAATATTTAACTGATACAAAGGCGGAATTTCACACTTATCAGTTATTCCAAGAGAGAACACTAAGAGTAGTGATAAGAGGCCTACACCCTTCAACTCCACCTGATGCAATCAAGGAAGAATTAACGGATCTAGGATTCAGTGTCCGCCAAATCGTTAATATATTTAAAGAAAATAAAGAGCAGCCGGGCACAAATAATAAAATAGCCCTACCATTATTTTTTGTAGACCTAGAGCGCACCACTGGGGTCGATAATATTTACAAATTAAGACGCCTCTACTACACTAGTATAGTTGTTGAAAAACCATAGAGCAAGAAGGAAATAGTTCAATGCCATAATTGCCAATCTTATGGCCACACTAAAAGTTATTGCCACCGCTTACCGCGCTGCGTGAAGTGCGGGCAACAACAAAAATCGGAAGAATGCAGTAAGTCCAGGCAAACACCTGCGGTGTGCGCATTATGCCATAAAGACCACCCAGCAAACTACAAAGGATGCCAGACCTACAAAATATTAAAATCGAGACTCCTAACAGCTCCTAGACAGGAAGAGACCTCCAGGACTTCCAGACCACCAAGGCAACAGACAAGATTTACGAACAATCAAGTCTCCTATGCTCAAATACTGGGAGAAATAGAACAGCCCACTCAACCTCAGGCCCTGCCACAAACTCAACCTCAACCTCATAATCCGCCACCACAACTTAATAACACCCAAAAGCCCAGTCACCACCAAATGTACATCCCTCCCCCTAACAATTCCAATGATCTTACGAGTCTCCTTTCATCATTCCTCTCCGAATTCAGATCTCTTATCACACCACTTATCTCCTTACTCACAAATGTCATATCTAACCTTATTCCACCGCCAAGAATTCCTTAAATGCCCTCAATAAAACCCCTTTCCATTCTCCTCTGGAATGCGAATGGTGTTCGAAACCATATCAATGAACTAACTTTTTTTCTACAGGACAATAACATTGACATAGCCCTAATAACTGAGACTCGACTAACTAATAAACGACAGTTCAACATACCTAGCTACAAGATTTATCGAACTGACCATCCTACTGCTGCCATCATCCATCAATCCCTCTCCCATCACTCTTATCCTTTACCAGTACATAATTTCCTACAAACCTCAGCAATAACAATCCAAACTTCACTTTTTCCTGTCACAGTTGTCGCAGCATACTCCCCACCTAAAACAGCAATAACCGAACCTAACTTCATATCCTTTCTTAATTCCTTAGGACATCATTTCCTTATAGGTACAGACCTTAATTCCAAACATCAGCAATGGGGAGCCAGAACCACGAACTCCTGCGGGCGAACATTGCTGTCTGCACTTATTTCCCACAATAGCAACATCCTTTCCCCTGATACTCCTACATACTGGCCAACCGATCCTAACCGTAACCCTGATCTCCTTGACTTCTTCATTCACAAAGGTCTAGGGCCGTTAAATTATTCAGTTTTACGGTTTGATGACCTTTCCTCAGACCACAGTCCGCTAAACCTAACTCTTTCCGCATCTCCTATCCCCAAATTATCTCCTCCCTCATTTATCAGAGGCTCAGTCAACTGGAACCTTTTCCGCCAAACAATAGCAGATGCAATAGACCTCAGAGTATCCCTAAAAACGCCTCAAGACCTAGATAATGCAGTGAGTTCCTACACCATCTTGATCCAACAAGCAGTTTGGACTGCATCCTTACCACTTCCCTCCAAAACATACCGTAAAAAGAATCCTTTGCCCCAAGACCTTACTGACCTAATTAAATCCAAACGCCAATCTAGGACCCTCTGGCAAAAAACCAGGCATCCTGATGATCGAAAAATATACAATTATTATTCCAAACAGGTAAAAAAAAGAACTAGCTTCCTTTAGATCCCAATCATACAACTCCTACCTCTCTTCCCTATCTACCGATGACAATTCCCTCTGGAAATTGACCAGAAAAATCCTTAAATACCATTCTGTTTCCCATCCCCTTCGATGCGATGATGGAACCTGGGCTTCCTCAGATGAGACTAGAGCTGAAGAATTTGCCAAACACCTATCCAAAACATTCACTCCCCACCCCGAACTCCATTCCACCCTCACTGCTGAAATTAAAGAATTCCTCTCTTCTCCTATTCCTCTCTCCTTGCCTCCTATAGCTGCCAATCCCTCTGAGGTCAAATTCACTTTCCTCTGACATGGAAACACTCCATAATCATCCTCTTCCCAAAACCAGGTAAACCTGTAAATAATACTTCATCCTATAGACCAATAAGCTTGCTCCCAATCCTCTCCAAAATCTTTGAAAAATCCTTCTCAAACGCATCCTACCCATACTCGAAACCCACAATATCCCATCCCATCAGTTTGGATTCCGCTCAAGACATTCCACTGTTCAACAAGGCCTTCGCGTTGTTGACCATATATCCTCTGCGCTTGAAAACAAGCAATATTGCACCGGTGCCTTCCTGGACGTAGCGCAAGCTTTCGACCGGGTGTGGCATGATGACTTGCTTTTCAAGCTCAAAACTCACCTACCCCAATCCTTGTACCTAGTCCTCAAATCCTACCTCTCAAATCGTTCCTTTCAAGTCCGCTGCGGCACTGAATTCTCCAACTATTATCCAATTGAGGCTGGTGTTCCACAAGGCAGTGTCTTGGGCCCAGTCCTCTTCATCCTCTTCACCGCTGATATTCCAACCAATCCCGATACCCTTCTAGCAACTTTCGCGGACGATACCGCCATCCTGCCATCCCACCTAGATCCTGAAACTGCATCCTTTAATCTACATAGACACATCTCCCTAATTGAGCAATGGTGCAACAATTGGCGCATTAAGTTCAATGAATCCAAATGCAAGCACGTCACCTTTACTCTCCGACGCAGATCCTGTCCACATATCCTTTTCAACTCTGTACCTCTCCCCGTCTCAGACACAGTTCGGTATATTGGATTCCTTTTAGACAAAAGACTAACTTGGAACCCACATACTAGACTTAAAAGACAAGAACTTAACCGACGATTTGGCCAGCTATACAGACTACTTAACAGAAAATCCAATCTATCAATAGAAAACAAACTATTAATATACAAGACCATACTCAAACCCATCTGGACCTACGGACTTGAACTGTGGGAGACAACTAAATTTTCGAACATCAAACGCATCCAATCCTTTCAGTCTAAAGTCCTCCGTATGATAGTCAATGCTCCTTATTACGTTACAAACAAAACCCTACATCATGACCTTTACATCCCTTATATCCTTGACGTTATTCCATCCCGATTCTCAAATTTTCACATGAACCTAATCCACCATCCTAACCCTTTAGCACAATGCTTATCTAGCTCCAGTCATCCCTACAACCCTCCTCGAAGGTTGAAACGGCAGTGGCCTCGAGATCTCTTGTAAAGACGTCACTGGAGTTCTGGCAATGGCCAGCTTCTCCACTCAAGTCATGAGTGTTTGTGGATTACATTTTTTTTTGTTAAATTTGCCACTGCGTTAGAACGCATCAAGCAAATTTGTTGGCGTTAATTATATCTTCTTGAATTCCTGATATTTTCTTAACTTTTCAGCAGATCTCTAAGCCACTGCCTTTTTAGACGTCTTTGAGGCTCACCAGGTAACAGGGAGGAAGATAGAGATAGAAGGAGTGGATTTGGATCATTGAGTGTAGAAGAGTGAAATGTTGTGTACTTGCTGTGTATGTAGGATTTTACTTTTGGTATGTTCATGTCTGTGTGTATGGTGTGATTTGAAATAAACCAAGGAGCATTGACGATTTTACGGATTATTTTGGATTGTGTGGTTTGAATTTTGTTTATGTGTGTGTGTTTTGCGGAACCCTAAAGTTCTGCTCCGTATGTCCAAATAGGTCTTAGTATAGTGGTATAGATTAGTCGCTAGTTTAGTAAGTTGAGTGGAGATCTGTAGTCCAAAAGATGTGACAGTTGTTTGTATGGTCTGGTCAGTTCTTGTTTTTTTTTAATTTAGTGTGAATGTTCCAGGTGAGTTTTTTGTCTAAGTAGAGTCCAAGGTACCATACATCGTTCTTTGAAGGCACTGGATTATTGGCAATCGTTATGGGTGGACATGAGGCTTTCCTAAGAGAGAAACTAACGTGGGTGGATTTTTTGCTATTAATTTTGATTTTCCAGTTTTCAAACCACTTTTCAAGATCATGAAGATGGTTTTGTAGGGTTATTGAAGCGATAGTGGGATTTTTGTGAGTAGAAAGTATTGCCGTATCGTCAGCAAAGCTATAGAGAATGGTGCTAGGGTGCTCAGGGATATCAGATTTGTAGATAGGAAATAGAAGAGGGCTTAAAACACTACCTTGTGGTACGCCCGCAAGTTGAGGAAAGAAGGGAGAAGTAGAGGAATCAATAGTAATCAAGAAGAACCTGTCAAGAAAGAAAGACTGAAGAATCAGAAAGTAAGTTGAAGGAAGGTGTGGTTTTATTTTCCACAGTAAACCTTTGAGCCAGACGCTATCAAACGCTTTCTCGATATCCAGGAATATCACTGAGCAGAATTCTTTTTTTCGAAGGCGACTGAGATAGCGTCTACTATACGATGACACTGTTGTACAGTGGAATGGTAAGAACGAAAGCCAAATTGATGATTTGGAATAACTTCCCGACTTTCTAGGATTGGCTTTATTCTAAGAAGAAATAATTTTTCAAATATTTTGCCCATTATGGGCGAGAGTGCAATCGGATGATAAGAAGAAGGGTTACTGGTAGGTTTAGAAGGCTTAGGTATCATTTTTATTGTAGAAAGTTTCCAAAGGAGAGGGAAGTAAGTTGTGCGTAAGATAACATTATAAATGTGAGTAAGAAAGATAATGGCTTTTCGGGGTAGGTGGCGAAGGATGAAGGGAGTGATAAGATCATAGCCAGGAGCTTTTTTGTTTGAAAGTCGGTTGAGTTCCTTGTAAATGTCTTTTGGGTGAAATGCTGGCAGAGGTGGTGATAAGGGTAGTGGGGTTGTCAAATCGTCTTCAATCTTAGTATTGTGCGTGTTATCCTGAATATTATTCGTCCCGAAAACCTGAGTAAGATGTTTTGAGAATTCATTAGCTTTTTCTTCGCCTGTTATGGCCCAGGAATTGTCCGTCCGTCGGAGGGGATATTGAACATCTTTTGTCTTAAGTATACGTCTTGTTGCTGTCCATATTGATTCGTTTCTATTGTTCATTGAATTTAGGTAGTCCTTGTATCTGTTATTTTTAAATGTTGACAGTTCTTGTTGGAGTTTTCGGGTTAGTCTGTTAAGTATTTAATAATAATAATAATACTTTATTTGTTCTGGGACAAGTCCCTTTAGAATAATACAAAAATACAGAAATGTGGGCTATAGAAGTCTCAGAGATACATAAATATTTGAGTTTTTTTTATTTTTTTTTATTAAAAACTAAACATATTATGAATCTCCAATTTTATAACAATAATATATTCTATATACCAAATAAAATGTCACTATGTCCATAAAAAAAAATCATATTTAAAGAAATATAAAATGTAATTATTATTAAAAAATTGTTAAATTGTAAAAAAAGTTGGCTGATGGATCTCAATGTTATATTAATAGAACTAAGACAAAAGATAATCTCTTCAGAAAATTCAACATATCAAAAAAAAAATCAAATAAGCTTTATATCTTACCACCATTCCATACATGGCTTTTAATCGTCTGAATTTTTTCTTATCCTTTTCAAGTAGCTTATCTAGAGTTTGAATCAATAAATCCTCTTTCTGTTTTTCACTGAGAGTTCCTTCCCAATATTTCTTCAGCTGTTCTTCTTTCCAGGCAGTTAATTCCTTCAATTCTTCAGGAGTAACAAAGGGTTCATTAACAAGTTCAGTATCACTATTACCCTGATTTTGTGGTTTACCCACAACCTGATCTATAGCTAAAATTTCATCAATTGTCACTTGTCCTTTAGGAGCTGTCTCAAGTTCCTCATCATCTTTTTTCAACTCTTCTAATATAAATTTTCTCTGTTCTATCTCTTCTTTAGTACCTACATGTTTTTTTATACCACTACATGGATCTTCTAAGGACTCGGCATTAACATCATCTTCCTCTTCATCCTCTACCTCTACCTCCACCTCTTCATACATTTCCTCTTCTTCTTCCACCTCCACTTTCTCCTCATTTTTGTTTAGATCCTGGACAGGCAGAGATTGCGTTTCATGTCTTTTTTCTTCTTCTTCATCTATTTCATCTACTTCATCTTCTACCACCTCGTAGTATGGATCATTCTGCATTTTAAGTTCTGGGAATTCACTATTTGAACAAAATTAATGACAGTATACAATTATAAAACTCTAAACATAATTAATAGCATAAAATAGTTTTATGATAATTTATATAAAATTTATAAAGAATTTAAGTAAATGGAGTTACAAATATATCTCGTGTAAATATAATTTTTCTCTTACAGCTTATGACTTTATGATCCATGCTGACAGAGTATTATTCTTTATTACTATCAATTTTAATCTTTTTAGTAACAGATTTTGAAATTTTCACTTAATATCAAAAATGATCCACCAAAATTATTTTTTTAATTAACAATTTTAAGTATTACAACACATTATCAAACTCAACTTACTTCAAAAACAAAATAAAAAAAGATTTCTTACTTATTTTCATCAAGTTTATTCCATGGTAACATTTTCGGCTCTGGTAGAGGAAATATTGCAGCATTCATACGTGATAATGTGTCTATAAGATGATGGAAACACACATACTTATATGGCTTCAATGACTGACTAAAATTTTCAAGAAAGAACCTCGCTTGGAATGGCTAAAAAGTAATAAAGAAAAGAAAATAATAACAATTTTATACAAAATGGTTCATCATAAATATAAACACTAACCTTTACTCGATAGAGTTTGATGTACATTTTCCCCCAGCAAAGTTCCTTCCAATAACCAATCCATTCCTGGTAGAACTTAAGCTTTGCACCACTTTCTTTCTGTTTTCTTACAATTTCTTTATTTACCACAGTTTCCATTATTGGTAGCCTGTCTTTGTCTAGTTCAAATTCTTCTTCAGCAAGTCTATTTTCTTCACTTTCCATCTGATTTTGTTGATAATACTCATTCCACTGCAGAAATTAATTGTAAATCTTTAATAACAAAGAGTATTACTTATTAATAAAAGTTAACTGTATGAGGATATTTTCTATAGTATAAAGTTATTCAAAATTAGCATATACTATTACATTTCAAGTCATTAAGGAATAAAAACCAAATATGTATGCAATATATTTCTCACTTCTTCTTCGGTGCATACTATTTATTTTCAAGTTAATTTATTATCAGCCATATTTACACCAATTTTTAAAAAAATGTTGTCAACTTAATGACTACTCATCACAATTACGACGTTTCGGCTCGTCAAGCCATTTTCAAGTGTAAAATACCCATCATATACATGTCCTTTTCATTTATGCGAATCGCAAGCATCTACTCATAATAAAATTCCTTATTATTGTCATGTTCACCTAGTTCATGAGTCACCAACATGTCATCCATCTCATTTCTATTCAGTGACTTTTTAAAAATTGGGGTAAATATGGCTGATAATAAATTAACTTGAAAAAAAATATGTATGAAGTATAAGTACTGACATCTAAAGTAAAATTCTCTGACCTTTTCCCATTTAATGATAGTTTTCCCTGACCAGTATGTCTGGGAACACAAATATTAAAAATGTATAATTTATAACTAAATTGCTTCACTGACGACACTGCTATTCTAACTTCACACAAAAATCCTACTATCGCATCAATTGCCCTACAAAACCATCTTCATGATCTTGAAAAGTGGTTTGAAAACTGGAAAATCAAAATTAATAGCAAAAAATCCACCCACGTTAGTTTCTCTCTTAGGAAAGCCTCATGTCCACCCATAACGATTGCCCATAATCCAGTGCCTTCAAAGAACGATGTATGGTACCTTGGACTCTACTTAGACAAAAGACTTACTTGGAACATACATACGAAATTAAAAAGACAAGAACTTACTAGATGATATAGCCAACTTTCACATCTTATGGACTACAGATCTTCACTTAACTTATGAAACAAGTGACTGATCTACAACACCTTACTAAGACCAATATGGACATATGGAGCAGAACTTTGGGGTTCAGCAAAACACACATAAACAAAATAAAAACAGCACAATAAAAATGTTTACGAAAAATTCAAATACTACTATACATAACGACTTAAACATCCCCAACAGTAAAATCCTACATCCACGACAAATTCACTACATTTCATTCTTCAACCCAAAATCACTCCAATCCTCTGGTTCTTTCTATCTCCTGCTCCCTGTTACCTGAACAACACAGATTAAAAAGAAAATGGCCAAGAGACCTACTATACCAATAAAATCCATATCAAGCAAATACACCAAGACAATACAAACACAACAAATTTGCTAGATGCGCAGCCGTGCAGGTGCAAATTGCATAAAATATAAATAAATAAATAAAGGAAATTTATTTATTACATACAAAAGAAAATTGACTATAAGATGAATAGAGTAAAAAAAGAGGAGGAATTTTTTAAGCTTGGTTAGGATTTTAATTTTAGAAAACTAAACTTTTAGTAATTCAGTTTTATTACTTTTATTTTTTTTTTCACATTAAACGGAGATTGGAAGAAGAATGTGGGCATATAATTCTTGAAGAACAAGCTGGTTATAGAACAGGGTGGTCCTGCAGTGACCACATCTTCGTAATTAGGCAACTCCTGGATAAGGCATTGAAGAAGTACACCTAATATTTGTAGACTTATAAAAAGTCTATAACACAGTGCCATTAAAGAAGCTGTGGGAAATGTTGGAAGAGTTCAATATAAATCCCTACCTTATAACAGCCATAAAGAGCTTATATGACATAGCCGAAGCATTTGATAAAATCGGAGCCACTGTTAGTAATAGCTTTCTCATAATGAAAGGTTTAAAACAGAGATGTTCTCTTTCTCCGCTTGTCTTCAATATTTATGTAGAGAAGGCTCACAGAGAATGGAAGAAAAAATTAAGAGGTATGGGCATAAAGATTGGGAATGATTGCCTATTCAATCTCCAGTTTGCTGACGACCAGGTATTAATTGCTTCAGATGCAGATGTGGAATATATTATGAGGAAAATTCTACAGAAATACTCAACCTGGGGGCTGGAAGTCAGCAAAGAAAACCAAGGCGAATATTTACAATTCAATAACTGGATCTCAGGACCTGGGTGAATGCGACAGGAACATCAGGTATGAAAAGAGCACAAGCAACGGAAAGATAATCCCCAGAACCTTAAAGTTGGTACTGTTGAGTAAGGCAGTGTTCTTAAAAACAAACAAAAAAATTATTTGCAAATCATTCTTGAAGTGTTACCTCTCCATTCAGCGGAATTTTGAGAAATCGAAGAGAGTCAATCAAAAAGATTACTGGCTCTAGAAATGGACTATTGGAGACAATCATGTGATGTCTCGCCTTCAAAAAGTTCTAAACTGTGAAATAAAGAAATGAGTAGAACAAATCGAGAACATCTTCCACCCCATTGGAACTATCAGAGTGAAGTGGTATGGGCATGTGATGAGGATGGAAGAGGGATGATGGTCTAAGCAAATTTGGGATCGAAAACCAGAGTGACGGAAGAAAGGTCACCCAAATAGAAACTGGTATGAGGGCATAAATGAAGGAATGATGAACAGGGGCATGTGAGAAGACTGGTAGGACAGAAGATGGCAAAAACTTATTTTTAGTGACGACATATGACCAATGTTGTAAAAGTCGTGAAATTTAAAAAAATTATTTTCATAAACTGAGAGGAGGTAAAAGTTGATACTTGCCATATAAGGCTCAGATTTTCGCAATTATAAAATACAATGAGCTAAGGGGATTCTAATATTAATGTAGTTTCTCATAAGTAATTTAGTCTCTTTATTAACATAAACAGTGTTATAATTATCCATGTGATGCCAATTATGACATTTCTGGTTAATATTTGCTATTTTAAGGAGCACCAATTGTCAAAAGATTGAGTGCTTGGCATATAGATCTTGACTCAGATGAATGTATTAAAAATATTAAATAGTATTGATATGACTTTCTTTTCAAAAAAACACTGCTTTAAGTCCATTTTGCTTAGATTTTATTCATTACTCTTATAATGACAAAATTTATTCCTTCAAGGTCATTATAAACGATATCCACTGTGTGTATATATATATTTCCTATTTGAAAAAAATATTTATGTACTAAAAAAATTCTCTGACATTTCCTATTTTTCCAGGTCGGTCAACATCCTGAGACTTAATGTAATTGGTAGGTCAGCTTACACTCATCCATGAGTAGGTCAGTCAGAAGTATATCAGTGTGTCGGTTTTTCAGTTCACTCCGAGGTACATCAGGAATGCCATTTGTTGAATAAATTTGTTTATATATCCAAGTAATTTGTCTTGAAACCGTTAGTAATTCACACGAATGTGGGTTGTTGCTATCAGAATGTATAAGTCAGTGTGTAGGGTCTTGGTTGAGATATAGGGAGGTGAGTTCGTTATCAGTCTTAAAATTTGAGTTTGGAACATGTAAATTAGAGGACAGATTTCACATCGTAGTGTATATGTGACTTGTCATGGTTAAGCTTTATTATCCTTTTCTTGTACCATTCATTTGTTTTATCTAGATTTTGTTGTAAGGTCAGAGAGTCTGTGTTTGTGTTTCAACTAACAATAACAGTGTCGTCAGCAAAAGTCGCAGTAGTATGCCATCACCTGTCAGTAAGTCGTATGTATATATTAAGTTCATAAGTGGGGTCAAGAGAGATTCTTGAGGGACTCCCGCAGAGATAAGTTTTAGTGATGAGGTCCCTGTACTTTTTCAGACAAATAAGAAATGGTCATAGAAAAATTATTGTATAATTAGATAGTAAGCACTTGGAAGAGAGGGTCTGTTTTAAAAGAAGACCTTGGTTACATACCCTATTAAATGCTTGAGTCACATCTAAAAATGCCCCTGAAGCTTATTATTAAAGCTCAAGTGGCATAGAAATGAAGTCTGTGACTGTGTAGGTGTTGTGTTGTGGAATCAAATGTGCGAAATCCGAATTGATAATCTAGTAATATGTTATGTTTTGTCAATATGTTAAGGATGCTTTCGTACAATAGTTTTTCAAACATTTTGGAGCATACAGAAAGAAAACTAATAGGTCTATAGGATTCTGGTCTGTGTCTGTCTTTGTTAGGTTTAGGTATCATCAAAACTGTATCGTATTTCCGTTGAATGGAGAATTTAGTTGTTCTTAGTATATCATTGTATAAAGTTGTAAGAAATACTAAAGTTTTTCTGGGGATTTTATGAAATAACTTAGTAGTAATAAGGTCATAACCCGGAGTTTTATTTTTTGTCATTTTAATAATCTGCCTTGATATTTCCGAAGGAGTAAAGAATTTTTGTGTTATGAACATTCACTCTTCCTTCTCTCTGATTTTTTTTTGTTTTATTGACAGCTCAGATAGTGGTTTTCAGACTACTGAAGTTTTGGTTACTTGGGTACAACAAATGGCACTTTCCTGATGTACCTTGGAGTGAACTGAAAAACCGACACACCGACATACTTCTGACTGACCTACTCATGGATGAGCTGACCTACCAATTACATCAAGTTGGAGAATGCTATTAGCTTTTCTAGTTCAGTCATATTTCCCTTAAGGCTATCAGCGAAGAAATGAAAAGGTTGCCAAAGAAATGTACAGCTTGTCGCTCAAATGTTCTGCACTGTATCTTATGACGTTGTATTTGTCATCACCGATATACTTCTGATTGACCTACTCATGGATGAGTGTAAGCTGACCTACCAAAGAAGATCAGAACATCTGGCCAATAGAAGATGAAAGATGAGCCTGCCATTTTTTTTTTTTATAACTAAAATATTTGCACCCTTAAAATATTACAACATATGAGCTATTATAAAACATACATGGCTGGATAAGCATGAGGGAGGTGGCACCCAGCGATGCATACTCCTGACATTCAGCTAAATTTTATTTCTAAAAGGTGTTTTTTTGTCAATATAACATAACTTCATGAATTCTTACGGCCTTGAAGAGCAATAATTCAGCTTTCCAACAGTTGTAAAAACATTGAATTAGGATAAAATTCTGAGGAGTTACCCTTGATAATTAGAAAGATTACTAAATCACATACAAAACAAACAAAAAAAAAAAAAAAAAATCATAAAAATGGGACTTTTTATGATCCATCTTTTTCTGTGCCATCTTTAATTTACTATATGAAAAATTTCCTCTGAGATGCACCATTTTCAAGATGTAAGCGGAAATCCAGAAATTGTAACCTTTCCTCCCCCCTCTCTCTCCGGCTCACCACCTTGACGTAAGGACTTTTAAATATGTTAATAATCTAAGATCCTTGAACAAGTTTCTTAAGGAATAGCTTAAGTTCCTGCTCATACACTCTATAACTCCTTTATTGACTAGACTAATATTGTAGGTAAGGAGATTACCATGTATTAATCATTTGAAGAAAATCTCATGATTCTCCCTGTGATTGATGATAAAACTATTAAAATAAAACGTGAACCTTATATCAGTTTGTCCTCAGTTGCCTGTTCAGTCGCATAGGTTTTGCTTTTGGGTTGTTTTTTTTCTTGAAAAACAATATTTCATTCTTACCAAACATTTTTAAGAGTGTAAAATGGATTTTGATCTCGTGGCAGTCATTCAGATTACTGAGTTAATTGAAAACAGCAATATGCGACATGAGGACACGGGCTGCCTTAAAAAACAGTTCAGTGGGCAGTGCAGAGGTACCGGAAGGCAGGAAGTTCGGCCTAGATGCAGTGATCATCACATCCTAGAGTGATACATACAGTTGATAACTGCTTCATTGCTATGCAGACCCTCAGAGACCAATACCAGAATTCAGGTGAGACTTCTCATCGACTGCATATGGCTCAGGCTGCGGATTTCAGCTCGCTGCCTGTACGCTAGGGTTCCCGTTGCCTGGACAGAAGATGGTTTGGCCTCTGTTATGCTGTTTGTCGAGTCAAGGTATAGCCTTTATGGTGCAGACGGACGATTTCGAGTGTAGAGAAGGCCAAGTAAGCAATTAGCTCAGTCAAGATAGCTGGAAGAATGCTGATCGGAGTATGGTCAGCGATAGTTTGGAGTGAAATATGTTTAGAGTCAAGTACAGACCTTCATCTATTCCAAAGGCCGACACTCAATGTACACACATATATCACTGACATCCTTGAGGAATATATGGTACTTTTTTGCCCGTTTATCATCCTCCATTTTGCCCATTTTGCTCCATTGGGCCATATTTCATTGTACTTGTGCGAAAGAAGTAAAATACAAAATCATTTCATAGATGTATAAAGCATATGTTTATAACCTTAAATACATTTACTATAGCTTATTAATTCTAGATCTGATATTATATTTAAATAATTAGGTATCAATGTCTGCTTATTCCGAAATTTTGTCATGTAACTTTTTAGAAAATCAAATTACTGAATAATTTGATGAATCTTCCCTTTGTAATGTTCCAACAGTATCCACTACTATTTCATTGTACTTGTGTGAAAGAAGTGATATATAAAAATATTTCATAGATACATTTATAACCTTAAATATATTTAGAGTAGTTTAATAACTCTAGATCTGATATTATATTTAAATATTTAGGTATCTATTGTCCGTTTATTCCGAAAAATAATCATGTAACCTTTTATAAAATTAAATTAGTGAATAGTTTGATGAAATTTCCTTTTGTGATATTCCAACAGTATCCACTTACAATTAGTGTGACAACTTTTGACCTGTCTATGACAGACAATGCAAATCTTTTAAATCAGTTTGAGTGAACTTTGCAATGGAAAATAACATTTTAATAACTAATAGTCGTACCATCCATAATTAATGGATCGTGCAATCCATAATCAATGGATAGTACAATCCACAATCAACTGGTGATATAATAAATAGGACTTTTGTTATTTTAATAGTATTTATGATTTGTTAGCTGCGATGTTTTAGCTTTAGCTCAGTTAAAAATGCAATTCAAAAATTTTATAATAGCCCGACATGGCCAGAAAATAATTTGTATTCAAAGTTGAGCGGTAAGTGAAAGTTGTGTGTTGCGCGCACCAGATTTTTTGTTTTTACCATAAATATTTACACCAATTTAGTTCCGTACTGTCCCTTTATACATACTCCATGAAAATCCAATCTCTAGCTATGTATTACATATTGCTATGTAACTAATGTGAAAAATACCAACCAGTTTTTGTATATCTTCAAAAATTTTTTGAATTCTCAAGATCCTACATTCAGCTAGGAGCTTATCATATATATGTTTTTTCCTGATAACTACATCTTCCCAAAACTCTCCTTCATATTCTACAACTGAGATAAACAATTTACATAAACTTATAATAAAACAAGGCTTGCATGTATTAATTTGCAAATGAAGTGTATCATTGCATTAATTGTTTATAAAACTGTGAGAAATCAATATTTTTCTAATTTGACATTTGTTGATTGTTTACTCGCAATGAGCTAATTCCTTTGAAATGAACTCTCTCAAACATTAACAAAAGAGGGGATGGATTATCCTTAGTTTAGCCCATTTACAGCTTGTTTTCACTTTACTTTATGCCTGGTCAACATATTTTTTTCACTAAATGTTATTATTATATTTTATCAAAAATTATTAAAAGTTCTTCTGAGAATTAAAGAATGTCTGTATGACATCTTCTACCAGTGGAGCTTGCAATAGCTGTTACTCTTTTGGAAGGAAATGTGGCAGCAAGGCTCACAAAGTGTGGCAGAATGTGCACGGAGACGTTACCAAGATAGTGTTTTTTTTTTTAAATAAACACATGATGGAGGGTGTCAAAGATCAACATCATTACAAGACCAATATCTGGCTTGAAAGAATCGCTTCAACACTTACCGAAGACTAGCTGATTTGTTTTCTGCCTCTTATATGCAAAATAGCAATCACAAAGTTCACAGGGATCACAAACCACGAATTGCACAGGCCAAGGCCTCTGCGCTTTTAAGGATTCAGCCCACAACATAAAGTTTAAGGACTTTAATTCACTCAGATTTACATATCATGGACTGATTATGCCTGGCATTATTTCCTTTTCACAGATGAGTCTAAATTTGTTCTGTACCACGATTCGAACAGAGTAAGATTTACCAGGTCTTATGCACGATACAGTCCTCCCCTGGTCTTGCCTGTTTCTCTGTTTGGAGGAGGCTCAATCACAATGTAGGGTGGTGTATTTTTGGGCTCTCGAACAGAACTTGTGGTGTTACAAAATGAGACTATGACTGTTCAGGGTTACTTGGACAGGGTCTTAGCACCAATAGTACAATCTAAGGCAGAAACAATTGTCCCAGAATTCATTTTTTTGGATGACAACACTAGATCTCATAGAGCTAAAGTCGTAAATGCATCCTTTCAAAATCAAGAAATTTGCCATCTTGATTGGCCTGCTTGCTCTCCAAAACTAAATCCTTTTGTAAATTTATGGGACAAATTTCAAAGATGGATACTCTTTCACAAACTCTGGATAAACTGCAAACAACACTCTTGGTGAAATGTGAGATGATATCTCAAGATAGCATCAAAATGCTAAGAAACATGCTTCGTCGTCTTAAGCAACAAATGCTTGAGGTGGGCCAACAAGGTAAAACAAAAAGTAAATAGTTTTCCAAAATTTTAAATTTATCTTTTAATTTTTAGAACCAATGTAAACAGTTTTCTTTTAGTACATCTTGATTATTTATTTCTATACATGTAAAAGTAAATTACCTTTTAAAAAATAAAATCATTAAATAAGAATAAGTGTTTTTTCATCTTATTCTGAATGATCCACTTCATTTGCAAATGAGTATATTATTAATTAATGAGGACAAAAGCTATCAATACCAATATGTTGAACCATCATAGACACATTTTCTCTCGTTTTGATTAGCCTTTATTAGACTGTTGATGTGAGGAGTCCTGTCTCTGTCTGCTTTTATGTGATATTATATTTTTCTCATCTGATTAGCATTTTTATTCAGAATACTTTCACGCCAAGTTTTTTTTTTTTTTAAATTGAAGCTTTGTTATGGCATTCTAAATGATACATGGAAAGTACCCATAACTCTATGCAATATGTTTACTTATCTTTAGGGAGGGTTACAGAAAATTTCAACCATGTATCTGGGCAATAGTGGTATCATTTTGTGCATATAAACTACACTGAATCAAGTCAATAGTACCAATAAATAATGAGTTACTAAGGTTTTTATATTAAAAAAGAATATAAAAATCTTTCATGTATAAAACTGGATAACTCGTGCTTTAAAAACTACCTACATCTACTTACTTATTAATTTATGGCTACAGATAAAACAATGACTCTGAAAAGACTGTTTGAGAAATGAAAATATTGTTTCATTATTCTGGGAATGTTGTCCCTTTAGAATAAATTATAAATACACAATGAATATCATTGTGGTCATACATAATCTAAATATTTACAACAATAATGAAATTAAAAATAAAAATGCAGAAAGAGAGAGTGAAAAAAAAAAAGGATACATATTGTAATGTAAATATTACATAGTGATTTTAAATAATGGCACGAAGGCAGTGACATCACGGGCTACTGTCAAAAAAGGATAAAGACAGATGGAAGGGGAGGTAACTGCCATATGTTAGGCAGAAGGTAGCCAGCCGGCTAGCAAAGAGTGTCAAGAAAAGAAAATGTGAATTAACAAGTAGTGAGTGTCAACAAAGGAACATTAGAAGATTGAAAGAAGTTGAAGAACACAACAATACAGAGGAAGATTCACTGCAGAGCAAGGTGAGTGAAATATATAGTGACAGTTTAAAAGCGCGACAAGATTAGCCCCCCTACAAATGAATGGAAATTCATAAATGTTATGTAAAATTAATGTATGCTTTTATATTGTATAATTGAGGATGTGTGTTTGTTGTCTCAACCCAACCTGAGAATTAATTATTGATTAAAATAAATATTATTTGATTCAGAAGCTGTTTTATTTACTTTTCAAAGCGAACGGAACCTTACAAAATATACTAAAAAAATATTAAAATAACTTAAGTATACAGAAATAATCGCTGGAGATACTTAATGAGTTATATTAGATGCATTTCGAATCAGCAGGATTGGGAAAGGAGTAGATGTTTAAAGAGGACAGGTTTGAAAAATAAAACCGAGTATGCATGTTGAATATTAGGAGGGATCAAATTTCAGAGGGAGACAACTTGAATTACAAAGGATTTGTCAAACACAGTAGTTCAGTAGGGAGGAAGATAGAAGTCAGAAGCACAAGATAAAGTAGAACGGAATTGAATGGAGTATTTAAATTGTAAGCCATGAAAAATACAGAAGGGTCAATGAGTTCAAACGGCCTGGTATAGAAAGATAGCTAGGAAGTACTGATGGCGGTAGAATGAATAGAGCCACTTCAACTTGGTGTGATACTGGGTAATATGTGTATCTCTTGAGATTCCCAAAACCAAATGTATTGAACAATTCATTAGGCGTTTAAATTTGGTTTCGAATTCTCCCAAGAGTCCACTGTACACCATACATCCATAATCAAACTGGGGGAAACAAGAGAGAAAACTAGGAGTTGAAGGGAATTGTATGGAAGAAGATGGCGTAGACGGTTCAATTGTTTCAGGGTAGAGATAATATGATGGAAAATTTGCAAGATGTGTAGTTTGATCAAAATAAAAAATAATAAATAAAGAATAAGAAAGGTGAGTTATTCAGGAGAAGATTGGGGATTACTGGAAAGGATTTGAGGAGTGAAGGAGATCCGATCAAGATGGCTTTTGTCTACTCACTGTTTAGTTTGTTCGTTCATTCTTGTTTGGTGGCGTAAAACCTCAGTGGTCACCAACACCATTTTTACTGTTTAGTTTATTTTCGGCCATTCATGCGGCCATTCGGCCAACCTGCTACATTGTCTCCCACAAAGTGACTTAATTACCAGTTAATTAGTGAACTTTAGTGCAATAAAACAGTGACAATTCAAGATTTATCAATTGACTATTCAACTCAACATAAACAAAGTGAGTAAACAACTTGTTTATTAACATTAGGACTACAGTGTAAACAACGATAGTTTTATAAGTAGAGGCTATTATTGCCCCCCACTACCTTTAGTTGCCTCCGTGGCTTCTAAGGGGGAACACGTATACCTTGGAGGCCTCTACAAGTCTACATAATTAGTTACGTACTAAAAACTTTTATTTATTTTTTTTTTTCTCCTCTCTTTTATTTACCACCCTACCGTCATGAGATGCGATATTACCATATGATAATGTCTAGCAAAAACAAAAGATCTAGGAGTTTAGGGAATAACAGCCCTCGAAGTTCACCGGTAAAACAGAAGCCTAGACGTTCTAATAGAAAAACGCCATCTTCAACACCTGATAACCCTAGTGATAGCATGAATGACCCTCAACCTGGTACTTCAACGAAAAATATGACTACACAAAATATAAACAACGAAACAGATGAATCTCCATTTTTTACTCCTAACCCATATCAATTACTGTCATTAGAAGAAACAATGGAAATACCACCAACCCCCAGAGAACCAAAACCACCTCCTATTTTCATCAGAAATATAAAAAATTTCCAGCTATTTTGCCAGCATCTAAATAAAATACTGGACAACGGCAAATACATATGCCAAACTCGAATCAATGACACGAAGTTGATGCCAGATTCCCCCGAAACTTATAAAACAATTGTCAAATATTTAACTGATACAAAGGCGGAATTTCACACTTATCAGTTATTCCAAGAGAGAGCACTAAGAGTAGTGATAAGAGGACTACACCCTTCAACTCCACCTGATGCAATCAAGGAAGAATTAACGGATCTAGGATTCAGTGTCCGCCAAATCGTTAATATATTTAAAGAAAATAAAGAGCAGCCGGGCACAAATAATAAAATAGCCCTACCATTATTTTTTGTAGACCTAGAGCGCACCACTGGGGTCGATAATATTTACAAATTAAGACGCCTGTACTACACTAGTATAGTTGTTGAAAAACCATATAGCAAGAAGGAAATAGTTTAATGCCATAATTGCCAATCTTATGGCCACACTAAAAGTTATTGCCACCACTAACCCCGCTGCGTGAAGTGCGGGAAACAACACAAATCGGAAGAATGCAGTAAGTCCAGGCAAACACCTGCGGTGTGCGCATTATGCCATAAAGACCACCAAGCAAACTACAAAGGATGCCAGACCTACAAAATATTAAAATCGAGACTCCTAACAGCTCCTAGACAGAAAGATACCTCCAGGACTTCCAGACCACCAAGGCAACAGACAAGATTTGCGAACAATCAAGT